TCTCTCTCTCTTCTCTCTCTCTTCTCTCTCTCTTCTCTCTCTCTTCTCTCTCTCTCTCTCTTTGAGACTGTGTGGGGCCTATATGGCCACATCTTGAGGCAATCCATCTAGGGGCTCTGTTTCCCATATCTGGGACCTAGGTAGGGTTGTCTTGCGGCTATGTGTGCCATATCTGGGACCTATGTTGGGTCCTCTTGAGGGGCTGTGTCAGATCATCTTGGAGCACATGTTCCGCCTTTGCTGTTGGCGCGTGCCCAACACCCACGAAATGTCGATTAAGCCTGTCCGCGCGACACGCATAACCGACACCACCCTTGAAAAACACAGCATTTTTGCAATCTGTCGACCGGATTCGTCTGGGGGTCGGGCGGGGGTCGGGCGGGGGTCGGGCAGAGGTCCAACAAAAGGGTCGGCGGCAGGGGCGGCAAGCGTATATGACCTTCGGTTACCAACCGAAGGCCTCCGGCAAGGGAACGGGCACTGGGCCGCCGCCCGGAATGGCCAACGTCTGGGTGCCGCCGACTATTGGCTAGTAACTAGTAGGCCTACTTCCCTGGGCTGAAAAGCAAGAAGAAACAAAGGGGAATGCGCCTGGAACGTGCCCGGCGACAGCTCAAAGTCCGAGTGGGTGGACAAAGGCAAGCGTGCCACCGCTCCCACCGCCCGTAGCAAATGCGTGCCAGACGGCGGCTTCGAAGCCCAGTAAAAGAAGGTCGGTAAGCTCACGGTGAGCGGCGTGGCATGCTCCCTCCGCCACAGCCTTGGCCCACGCAAACGCGACCGGACAGGGTGGCTCCCTCCACCACAGCCTTAGCCCATGTTGTTCTGCGCGCAAGAGCGGCCGGGAAGAAAGCAACGGCAGCCTTGTAACCAAAGAAAGGAAACCCCAGCAATACACTTTCAAAGGTGAGGGAGGGTTTCATCTTACGGTTTCTGGGCGCAGCACGGCTTGGGTCAGGCCAAGCGGGTCGGCCGTCTAAACTGGGAGGACGCAAAAAGCAAAGATGCTGTTTCCAATCTGACTTTGTTGGTTGTTCCATAGAAAATCTTTCGTGTCCTAGATAGAAAATGGGGAAGCAGCCAAACTAGTGGCCCATTTGTTCAGGTAGATCGCCTTGCCATGCACAAACAACGTTGCACTTGGAGATGCAAATTGTCGGACCTTGATTTTCAGGAGTTCCTGTAAATCATTAGCGTCGTGAGGATAGGGACACCTATCTTGTTGGGACTCCTGTCGGCATGCCGAGGTGAGGTGATGGCCCCCCAGAATGAGCAGACCAAGGCGGGCACCGCAAGTCGGCAGTGCCAGAAACCTCCGGATGTGTTCACAACTGTGCTAGCCAGTGTGCCGGATGTGAGCATCATTCCTGGGGGAAGTCATGGAAACTCGGTGGGCAGTTCAAGGTGTTTTTATGTTGGCGGGGTGGATATGTTGCTGCTTTAAAGGGTTGGTTGGTTGTGAAAGATTTTTGCACATATTCATATTCTTGAGCTCTAGTTTTCCCTGCCTCAAGTCAAACAAAGAGTTGTTTGACAGTGAACAGTCTTGCAAATTCCTGTGTGTGGCCAGGCGAAAGACTTTCCAAAGTGGTGTTGTTCGAACAGCAGTTGTGGTGAACATTCGTGGTGGTGGAATGTCAGTCACATTGGATCCTAGTTGTTCAGCCGTCAGGCCACAGCAAGTTCCACATGTTGCAAGTTCGCTAGTTTCTGAATTTGGTAAGTAGGTGATCAGCTTGGATTGACAGGACCACATTTCGCATGGGATCAGACCCATCTCAATTCGGTGGGTTTTGGGTGCCCCAAAAGGGAGGGTCTTTGCAGGCAGGGAGTCCTTGCCCTCGGGTGCCGCGCACTCCCCTGCACCATTGTGCTTTTGTACTTCTTAGCTCTCACATTTAGTTGGAGGATGGAAATGGGTTGGAGATCCTTACCTTTTCCACCAATTTGGAGCGCTCAAGGATTGACTGATGTTAACGGCTTTATGCCTCACAGCATGACTTCTTATTGAGACTTTCGGACTGAAGAACGGTTATATAGATTCTGTTGGAAAAGTAGTAGTTTCCAGGAGTACTTCGGACGTTGTTGCCTTTTTCAGTTGATTGAGTGAAGCTCCGAGGATATGGTGAATGTCCACGGTTCAATCTTTCTGCTGGATGTTTTGATTCGTCACTGAATATGCCTCCAGATCCTTGCATTTGGAGTTGGATGTCCATGAAATGTGACTTGGCGAATGTGGCAGCTTTGCAGATCTAGATAAACTTATTGGCAGCATGGAACCTTTCCGAGCAGGTTTTTGTTCGTCCCTGAGTTCACGGAGGGTTTCTTTCAACTCATTTTTGTGGCTCGGAACTTTGGCCAAACTGCTGAACATGAGGCAGAATAGCCTTGATGTCCAAAGATTTGTCAATAAGATCACTAAAGGCGTCTCCCAATCTCACTTTTTGGCCCCGAAACACCATGGATTGATCACCGAAGACAGCTGCCAACGGGTTCTTCCCAAATCTTTGGCCTCGTGTTCAATTGGGGGACGGGTTCATGGCGACCTTCCAAAAGTCCTCTATCAGAAGAAGCTGCGAGAGCCGACGGCTCTTTGAGAAGATGTCAAGTTCATGCTTGTTGAAGTGATTGAAATTGGATGACTGCTATAACAACACAGATATTCAAAAAAACCTTTCACTACTGGTTTGTTATTTGGAACATGGATAGTGTTCAGAGGACAAGCCTCTAGGCTGTTTTGAGCTACGATTCTGTGGGGAAACGGCAGCAAAGACGTCATTAGGATCAAGTGTCTCCCTGGACCACTAGCTAGCGTGAAGTCGGGCCAGCTCAGTTTTTTTTGTTGTTTTTTTTGTTCTCTTTTTTCCCGAATCAGTTGAAGGGAAACATCGACAGGACACCCTGGATTGGAATAAGATCGAACCAGTAACGTCTGCTCCATGTCGTGTGACACCCAAATACACCCGAAAGCCTGGACAAAGATGTGCCACCCCTCCACCAAAACAAGCGTTCACTGTCTCGAACCAAAGTGGCACATGACAGTGGCACATGACAAGTGCACTTCACCGTGGATGAAACGGAAACTCCAATGGAAACTCCTCTCTGATGGTTGGAGGCCATCGCTATTAAGGTTAGAGGCCAACGGAAACTGCCAAGTCTCCCAATGCAAACTGCAGACGCGAGTCAGTCCAAGACCAGAGACCACAGAGACCAAGCCCAGATGGTGTCGTCAGAGGTCGAATTTTAGACCGCATGTCACCCAGAACTGCGCTTCGAAAGGGATATTCTTCATAGTAGCAACATTGGAAAGCATCCCTATTCCTGTATCTACAAAAGTTAGCTCCTCCCTTGCAGCAGGACAATCAGCAGGGATGTTCCTTTGAAAAAGACGTTAAAAGAAGTGTGAGATCTTCGAGAGGACGTTTGAGATGAACATGATGACAGTTCGGGTTACTTTTGGTAGTGCTCTTCCAGATAGCCATATCAAAAAGGTTCCACTTTGCTGAGGTGATGGGGAATCAGCTCCCGGAAACACCTATACCACTTTGTGCTCTGACAGCACTGACTTGAACCAGATGTGCGACCGATGGCAGTTCATTTTTGGACAGTCTGATGGGTCTCCAACCTATAACTGCCGAAGCCGAAGCTTGGAGCAACGAAGGGTGCGTTGGCGGGGTTGATGGGTTCCTTGCTCCCACATCAGCACTTGTTGGGTGTGAGACAGAAGAAGAACAATGGACCATGGTCTTGTACCAGGGCCTTTTGGTGAACACTTTCCTTAGGTCTTCAAGACCCAGGTGCCCAAGAAACCTCTAAAGTTGCCTCCTCTTTGTCTCTTGGGTGTTCACAGGGAAAACGTTCGAGTGTCGCAAAGCTCTCCTCCGTTTGAGTGACTTGCTACGGCATCAGTGAACTCAGCAAGGGCAAGGTTGAACATTGTTTTCCTCTCTGACTCACTACCCTGTTTGGAAAGGATAGCGTTTTCCAAGGGGCAATTTTCCACTTCCCACGCACGCCATGAATTATATATGAATCATTACACGATTTAGGCATGTTTGAGTCATCCAATAGGATTTTTACGCCCCGATATTCTTGCCGAGGGGGATTGGGTGTGTTAGCTTGCCATTGCCCTCATGTTCCACGATTGCTTGATGTTCCTTCATGACATTTTGGGTAATACGCTTCTAGTGGACTCCTTCCCAAATGCAGCACAGTAAGAATGCTTTCTGCCAACCGACCTATCTATGTGGACTTACACAAATGAAGTGGAGCTGAAAAGTGGAGGGGTTTGGCTGCAGAATTTACTCCCACCCACCCACATGCCCCGGCTTGAAGCGTGTTCTTGGATATTGGTGTTTTGCAGACACCTAGTTAATGACAAGCAAAGCAGCTTCCCAACGCCCAACGCATTTCACGTTTCTTCTCTCTACAGGGGTAAAACGACCCAAATGTTGCAGGCAGAGGAACTTCTATCAACATTTCCAGCAGAGGCCTGAAGCAACCATCATCATTCACTGCTGCGTTTAGCCAGGAGATTATTGTGATTCGCCATACAAATGCCTTGGTATGACCTTTTCACTGGCAGTAAAAGTGGATGACACTTCAGCTTGGACCTCGAATACTCCCGACTTATCTATTCAAATTGAGGCCTTCCGGGGGATGGATGGGCTATGTCTGCCGAAGGCGTTCTCCAGGGTTGGTCCACACCATGCAACTGTATGACGTCCATGAGTTATCTCGCTCAGCCTTGAGTTTAAGATGTGTTCTTTGAACGGGCAAGCACATGCAGCGTTAAGTACGTCAAGGTTTATTGATACACTGAAGAATATTGCTTCTTTTTTCCAACAGCAGCAAACGGGACGCAGCGCCGCAAGTTAACCTTTTTGTGACTTCCTTTGTCGGTGTTCTGGAAGAGTGTCAAAGACTGTTGTTCTTCCTTCAGCTGGCTTTGTTTCTTTGTGTTCTGACATGTCCTCCTTGTTTCTGATGCGCCCTTCTTGTTTTCAAATGTCCCTCCCTCTTTTGTGTTCTGACATGCCCCTTTTTTGTTCTGAAGTTCCGATGCGCCCTTCTTGTGTTCCGACACACCCTTCTTTTGTTCTGACATGCTCTTCTTGTGTTCTGACTCTGACACGCCCCTTTTCTTTCTTCCTTCATATACTTTGCCTACGTAGGCCCCCTTTCTTTATATACTGATCATGCCGTTCATGCCCAACAGAAGTGGAAGAGCTCGGTGTCTTCTCCTTGACCACTCAAAGCTTGTCATGCGAAGTTGTGTTTTAGTTGTGGTTGAGCGAGTGTTTGCATCGTGGGATGGAAACAGCATTTTGTACTGGCTTCAACGTACTCTCTGACATAGTCTGTTTTCTGATGGGCAGTGTACATTGGAGGGGATGAGTGGATCTATAATTTTGCTGGTGCTTCGTAGGAGCGGGTGAACCTTGGCAAGTGAACCAAGTCTCACTCCTCTCGGCTTGACCAAGTCTGTTCTTTTTTAGGTGGCGAGGCAGGTGCGCATGGCAGTGAAGCAGATGCTGAACGTTGGCCTCACAGCCCCCAACCTCATCTCAGTGGCTTGGATGGACCCGACACGCGGACCCGAGCAGCTCGGACCGGGCGAGAAGAGAAACCTCGAGGTTGATCCTTGATCCTCACGAATGTGTAAAAAAAGGAAGCCCAGCATCACAGTTGTGTCCTTTTTTGTGAAATTGGGCAACCAATCGGACAAAAGTCTTGGATTGTTGTATAATGACTTGGGTCGTCTTGTAAATACCATGGACTTCCTGTTTACACCCTTGTAAATAGCATGCCTTCCCTCTTCAATATCCGAAACAGCATGAAAGGGATGTGTTTCCACCTGCACCTCCATGGGTCAGCGAAAAAAGGCACGTTTAAGCTGATTACGAGAGGCATCTGGGGCCATTGAACTAGCTCCACGCAAGTCGGACCAAACTGGGGCAAAGCCGTAGAATGTGTGTCGCAGTACCTTTTTCAATGAGTTGTGGCCTTTGCGGATTTGGACATCAACATGGATCTCTGCAACCGACGAGGCTTACAGGAAGGCTAAGAGGTGCCCTTGGCATGTGCAATCGCCCGCCTGTCAGCAAAAACTCACATTTTTGATGACAGTCACGCAGGAAACGACTGATAATGTGGTGCCGCAGATTCAGCAGGTGTGGAGCTCACTGTTCATGCCAGATTCAGCAGGTCCCACGTGGGATGGGTCAAACCGGAAACACCTAATCCCTGTTAGGTTGACCTTCCAAGTATATATATATATAGAAATATATGTATATATGTATATGGGGGGCTCAAGGCTCAAGCCATTTCTGCTCAAGTTCGGGCTCTACGTCCGTGGCTCGCCTCGTCTCCTACCTGGGCATTGGCACTACGCCCTCTCTTTGCGGCACCGAGCACGACACCTTTGTTGAGTCCTTCGGTGACCCGGCACTAGCTCTCCCACATCCAGATGACATGGGCGAGATCCTATCAGTGCTGCAGCAAACCGGGCTGGGAACTGGATCTGAGAGGACCGCATCCAAGCCAACTTCTCCTGCCGGATGTGCGCGACTCCTTGGACCATGCCCTCTCAAGGATTTGCCAAGCCCAGGAACAAAAAGAGCAGTTGCACGTCATGCTCAAGCGTCCTTCTGTAGATGCTGAAGCCATTGATGAAGAAGCAAAGCGCAGGAAGACTGAGCCCGGCAATGCAGGGTCGTGTCGGTAGCCTTTTGGCACCGGGATCTCAAGAATTGATTCCGCCTTCAACTTGGGGTCGAATGTCATGCTCCTTTGAACATGACTTGGGACACTTTCGACTTGCGTGCAGGGGAAATGCATCATCAGTTGACAATTTGCTTTCAGGCTCAAGCTTGGGCCGCACTTCTACTTCCACGGGCTATGGTCCGTGTCGACGCGCCTTGACGACGCTCAAGGTGCTTGGGGGCGCAGTAACTTGTGCAGAGCAGCCGGTCAGACAGACTGCCGAGGCACAGAGATCTCCTACCACAGAACAGCTTTCAAGGGAGACTGTTTCTTTCGGGACCTTGGCAGTCCAGTCTCTGGCCAATCTGCTCAACATGGAGGTGGATGATGACACCTCCCTGAACTTCGAAGAACGCACCCTTTTTGAACTTTGCAGCAAGGACTTGCTCAGCTCCTGTCAGGGTTTTCTACTCTCCAAGGAGGCCAACAGCTTCTCATGGACTTGAAACGAATGCAGAACTTGATCCAACGCCATCTGAACACACGGTGGCGAATATCTTTGTGGTTTCACAATGTCTCACAAGCATTCTCCAGAATCCCAGGAACATGTGCTATGGGAACGCCCCATGGAGCCCCATGGAAATGCTGGTGCTGGACTGGAGCTTTTGCTGATGATGTGGCACAGGCCTGGGGTAAATCCTTGCAGGCAGCTCGACAATTCCTATCTGACAGTGAACCACAGCTTCTCACAGGGCTGCATGACATGATGCACATATGGTCACAGTTCGACCAAGAAGAACAAGCAGACGCGGTTGACTTCCTGCACTCTCTGTGGTCCTTTTCTGGCAGCACCTTCTTTGCCTGCCGCTTCTTTCATCGAAGTGAACGAGGTCACACGGAAGAGAGAGAGAGAGAGAGAGAGAGCAGTTCCCTCTCAACCTCATTTTCCCAGATGGAGAAGGCCCCATTTCTTTGGACACCTTGGTCAACAACTGGGCTGATGAAGCAAGAGGACAATTCCTCTATGGCTCACCTGGTGGAGTAGTCCTCCACCTCCAGCGATCCACACTTCATGAAGGCACTTGGACCAAACATTCTTAGGGAGTTGGACCTTCACACCAGGGTCACCATTCCCTTCTCAGAGGATGGAGCCAATGTTCACACGGCCACCTATCAGATTGTGGGGCTCATCCTGCATCAGGGTGCCACTCATGAGAACGAGCACTATCAAGCCATTTTGGCAATTGACAACGTCTATTGGTTGGCAGATGATGGAGCATACCCTACTCCGCTTCCTCATCTCAGCCTTCAACAGCGCAAAGAGATCTCTCAGATCTGGCTGGTTGTGGCTCCCACTGATGAGCTGGTGACTGACACAGCTATCGAAATGGCTGAATACCTTCCCAAGAAGACTCGAACTTGTCAAGAGTTCAACAGCTGCAACGGTTTCCTCCCATCTCCAGGAACTACCACCCCAAGAACCTCTGGACCAGTTACACTGAAGATGATGGGCCCTTCAAGATGCTTGGTCAGGCCATCGCAGGACTTGGCTCTGACATTGCAAGATGGGCCACTCAGACCGAGAAATTCCTCACACAGAATCTCTAGAAGCCCATCACTGGCAGGGGATCCCAAGTGCACCTCTACAATGCGCCCTTGGCCAGCTCCAGCAAACCACGTGTGTGGAAGAAAGGCAGTGCAGCCTTCTGGGAGAAGATGGGCATCAGGATCAAGACCTGAAAGACATGGTATCCAGAATCCCTCAACATGCCTCCAAAGAGCTTGACCAGAAGCACTTCGAGGAGCAACTCCTTCAGTGGATCTTTGGGGGCAGTCAACCTCCAGATGACCTACAACAAATGGTTCAACAAGAACAAGACATAGCTCAAGAACAGATGCTTAGTGCCACCAATCATGAATTTCGGGAGTGGCTCGACAAGGCGCGCGACAAGGGCCTTCGAGGTCTTTTCAGAAGTCTGCGTCAAAAAAATCATGCTTGGCAAAGACCCTTTCAAGACCTGCCTCCCACCACCCGTGCTGAGGCACGGGAACTCCAATGGGGAACATTTGGATTCCGCTGGATGGGCCGCTTCGGGTACGAGGCATCCAAGAGCTGCGGCGTGTGGCCCAAGCCCAAGCTCTCCAGCTCAAACCCATTGACTCCAGCCTCCTCCAGAAGATCATGAGACGCCTCCCGAACAAAGCAGCTGGACCTGATGGCATCTCCTATGACTTCCTGCGGCATTTACCATATCCAGCAGTCGACAAGCTTGCTCAGCTGCTCACTGAGATGGAACAAGAAGCTGAACATCCAAACGAGGCACACCAACATAGTGATGATTCCGAAGAGTGAGCGTATCGAAAGGCCGATAGCTCTCACCTCATGCCTGTACGGGCTGTGGAATAGCTACCGCAAACATGATCTCCAAAGGTGGCAACTTGGACTTGATGAGGACATGCCCTGGGACCATGCTCGGCCACACAAGGATTGCCTCTCCATAGCAATTGGTCGCATGCTCAAGGCAGAGATTGGCAAGCATCAGGGCATACACACCGTGACTTGTCTGGCTGATCTCACCTGTTTCTATGACACGGTGCAACTGGATCACCTCATCGAGCCAGCAAGGGAGTTGAACTACCCGCCTCTTCACTTGAAGCTTGCCCTCGATCTCTACACGGGGCCACGTTTGATGCAGGCGGAGGGCATCGCAGGCAGTCCCAAGCACTACCAAAAGGGCATCCTACAAGGATGCCCACAGGCACCAGTCATTGCCAAGCTTGTGCTCTACAGGCCTGGACTCAAACTCAATACCGACAAGACCGGCTTTATCACAAGCAGCAAGGAGTCAGCAAAAGCCTTGGATGCTCTTCTTCAAACTGATGATCCCAAGCACCACAACATCTTGAGAGACCTCGGCATCGATGCCACCAATTCGCGCCGATGACGGATCACTCAGATCAAGAAAAGATTCTTGAAGGGCAGGGGAAGAGCAGGCATCATGCATCGCCTGAAGCTTGGCAACGCCACCAAATACAGATTACATCGAGGTGCAATACATCCAGTGATGACTTGGGGGGCTCAAGCAAACGGGCTGGCCCCGCAAAGACGACCACAACTCAGAGTTTTAGCCGCCAGAGGCTTAGGTCTACAGCGTTCTGGCTGTCGATGTCGTTTTTGACATGCACCCAGACAAGAGTGATCCGGGGGACTCGATCATTCTTCAGCACATCCACACGGTGTGGAAAGTCCTGCACTCCTTTGACGCCAGTGCGCAAAACCTCTTCTGGATCAGCTGGAACTCAGCCTTGGACCTATTTTTGAAGGCTAAATATCGCTGGCAGGTGGTGACGGGCCCTCTACAAGCACTTGAAGCATACTTGCTCGATTATGACTTCGACATTTCGCAAGCTTTGGAAAAGAACAGGCTACGGTGGCATTCCTGACTGCTCCATCAGCCTTGAAGCTTTGTGGCCGGAGATCCATCACAAGCTGCTCTCCTACGTCTGACCAGGTACCAGGGCTGCCACGACCTGGAAAGGAGATTGGACTGGACTGTCAGCAAAACGCTCCAGAAGATGACCAGCGACAAAGCAGCAGTCGGCATCCGAGCTCTTCATCAAGGAGCTCTCCACGGACAAGAAGGAAAGTGCCCCTTGTGTGGAGTTGAGCTCATCTCTTGTGGGAATGCAGCTTTTGGGAAGGACGAGTACAACCACTTCCTGACCAGTGGACATTCCTGATGGAGGCATGGCTACTTTCTCTGGTGAAGGTCTCTGGGCTGATCTTGCAGCTTGTAATCTTCCAGCAGGACATGCGGTCTCCTTGGCTGTGGCACCAACCTCACGAGATCCGAGGCACAGACGCTACGTCTTTGCCATCTGCGCCCACCAGGTGTTCACCAAGGAACAAGTTGGCTCGCTCATTGGGATCTGCCCCGGCAAAGCCTCCAGGCTTCGAGCCCTTTCTATGGACTCAAAAAATTCTCTCTCTCCACATCAGAGACAAGGTCCATGTAGCTGTTTTCCAACATGCCATCCGGAAGAACTGGTCCTTCACGGCAGCACATGAGAAATTCCCAGATCTCAGTCACGGTCTCGATCACGAAGATTTTGACCAGGTGGGACTTTTGCTCTTCAACCGGAAGGAGATGGATTCCAACCTCAACAGAAAGGCTTTTCAGCAAGATGCTCAAGCTAAGGCCACTCAGGCAGCTCTCTTGGCCCGACCAGGACATCCTGGACCTTCAACGGCACATTGACGAAGACACCAGAGATGTCTTGTGTGTCGCAGGGGCCAGAATGAACATCCTTCTCACCAGCAAGGATCACTTCTTGCACCAGAAGACCCCAACGACAGCCAATGTCAAAGTGCGCATGGTCCAACAGAAGAAAGACGTCTTGGCCTTCTTCTTGAAGGAGCCTCAAGCTCACGGACACCAATGGTCCGCCTACCGGTCTGGGGTACAATGCACTCAATGCAAACAACGCTATCACAGAGGGCCTCACCATGCCTTGTGCGCAGGCCGTCCCCGTCAAGGCTGGCAGGAAGACCAGATTTGAGGTCATACATGACCTTCTGGAGAGCCAAGGAGATGCTCGCCCTGGCATTCATCATTTCCGCCTTGAGAAAGCACAATGTCGTAGCTATGTGGCAAGAGCCGGAGAAGAGATCTTCACCCGCTTCGTGGGAGAAGTTTGCCACAATGGTCCTCTGGCCAACGACCTATGGCACGGGCATCCATCTCATCAGATGATGAGAACTGTCCTGTGGTCGACAAGGCCACCTTTGTGAAGCAGATGGTTGATGGCACCATGGAGCACGTGACAGATCATGCCTTCACCCTCCAGACGCACTACATTGTGTGTGGGAGGCGCCACCGCAATTTGTTTCCAAGTCTCCTTGCTGGGACAATCCCTGGACCCCGGCGGCTGGATGGAAAGGGCATGCCACACACCACATGTGGAGGCGTGGAAATCGTGTCCACTGCCAAAAATTTAAAATGCAAAGCATATGCAGTGGCAAAAGGTGGTGAACATGTGGCCAGTCGAGCACTCATGAAGAGCTGCGCAAGCGGGCAGCAGAGCCAAACCACTCTGCCCATCTGCTTTCGGCCCAAGGAGGCCACCGAACTCTGACATGCGGAAAAGACACGCAGGAAAACAGATAGATATATGTAAATATATTTATATATTACTCTATATCAGATATAGGTCAACCAAGGTCTCCTGGTTTTGACCCACAGCCATGTGTCTTCATGGTCTCCGGGTTTTCTGGGCGCGAGATCCTCTGGCGTCGTGGTCCATTACATGGGGCACGGTTCGGTCGCCGCCCAGTCTGGAAGTTTTTCCGACTTTCCGAGTTCCGGGCGCAGACATGGCAGACGACCGTGGGCGCAAGCGCGCATGGTGAAATGGACAGTCTAACATTGCAAAGCAACACGGGGAATCAACATGGAAATGGATCCCATGATCAAAGCAATGCCGAATTGTTGTTTTTCCCGAGCACATCGAGGCTCGGCCTTGCAGGTGACTGGATAACGTTCTTTGCCCAAAGACAGTGGACCCAAGATGTGCAGATTTCGTGACATTATGTTCCAGGCGCAGAATGTTCTGGGTCTCGGAATCCAGATTTTGTGGCAGGGGCAGACTGATGGGGATCTCGAAGTGCAGATTGCGCTTCAGACGGCGGCGTTAAAGATCTCGAAGTGCATTTTTTCTGGCAGCCACGAAAGTCTGTAGATCTCAGGTATAGAGTCGTGCAGATTTCAAGGCAAGCACGGAATGTTATGTATCTAGAAGCGCAGATTTCGATGTGGGGGGGCGGAATGTTGTAGATCTTGAAGTGCAGATTTCGTGGCAGGCGCGGAGTTGTTGTGGATATCAAAGTGAGTCATTTGTGGCAAGTGCAAAACGCGGTGGATCTCATCGGGTGGCTTTGAAGTTGAGGGTTTGGGGCAGGCACAGGTATGTCACCTTTGATTTATGTCCTGTTTTGGGCGGCACTTTAGAGTCTTTAGGGAGAGGTATGCAGGTTTCATCGAGCTGTTTTCTTTATTTTTATTAAACCCCGCAAGTTTCCTTGCACAATTTGCAGCAAGACAGCTCAGGACAACCAAGTCCGTGCGGCAGAGATCAATGTTAACGGTAACACCAAGCGCATCACGTATGACGTGGCTTGGCTGCGTTGGGAATTTGGCAGTGAGGCTTCAGCAGAGCCGCTTTGCATGCCCATCGCGATTCACGAGCACAAGGGGGTAGGAGCAAGGATGCTACTAGGGGCTCCTGGCATCGCTACTACTGGCCGTACTACTAGGAACAGTGTTCGCTATTAGAAACAGGAATTAAAGGGTTTCCAAGAACCACGTTGCACCTTGATTATTTGGCGTGTTTTCGGCAACATGCTCGCTCTTTTTTGCTTGGCACAAAAACTATTGGTTTGAATGTATTGATGGTGGTTGTTGCACAAATGAAGAATGCTGGAACATGAGAGTGAGAGATCCCCATGGTGGAAGTTTTTGTGAGCAAAGTTTCTGTATTTGCAGGTTTTGGGTATTGCAAATACAGCTGGAAACCTCGTGGGGTTGACTGGGCGTGCAACCGCAAGAAGGGAACACAGGTTCAAATTGCACTCTCGTGTATTTGGGTGCATTTGTTGTTGTGGTCTTTGGAAAACCCACTCATGAAGAGAAACTCAACCAGATGTGAAGGCAGCTTTTGAAACTCAGGTGGGTGTCACGGAGCTGCCCTATCAGATCAAGCCGAAGCAATACCTTGGAGGTGATGAGTTTGTGGTTGCCTTTAACGACCTGCTCGCCATGAACAGTTGGGACGTGGGCTTGGTTGCTACGGAGGCATGGAGAGCACAGGTATGAAAGAGCACACACTTGGGATAATTCGCGCGGAGCTGAAAGCCACTTGCCACACGCCCACCTACTTGTAGGTATAAATGCTTAAGAAAACCAGGTAAAACAAAAGTAGGTTGGAGGCTATCGCGTCTAGGTTGGAGGCCGCCGCATCTAGGTGGCACCCTCGCAACGGGTTGGAGGCCATCGCTAGTAGGTTGGTTGCACGCAAAAGACGCCAAGACAGAAGTCTTGTTGTAGTTATGCACGGGAGCAAGGAGGAAATAATAGGTGATCATCTTCACGTGCAATCTGCGTCCAGATTGCATATCACAGCAAGCTTGAAGTGTCTTCGTTGAGCGGTGACTTCAACTAATGCCCACTGCTCCCCTGCAGTAAAACCTAGAGGTTCCCTTTGACTCCAAGGGTTTCACACACACGCACACACTTATGGATATACTGACTCGATTGCGGTTGCCACACGCCAGCCTAAGTAAACCACCTAAGGTTGCAGGTAGTAGGTTGAGAGTAACGGAATCAATCTGTGGCCTCCATGAGGTCTCCAAAGCCCAAGAACATGAAAGCGAGCAGCGGCGTCAGGGTGGCGACGGTCCGTACTTGTTTGCAGAGCGCAAGCCGATGCAATGGCCAGCGGCTTCTTCTAGTGACAAAGGGGCCCATGAGGAAGTGAGTGGTAATCACAGCAGGTGATCAGGCCAGACATCAGCACGGAGCTTGACCCTCTCCGTTGGATCACCAGTCAGGTCCGTGGTTGATCCTGCTGCAATGAATTAGAAATATATTTGACTGGATCCCTGTGACTCCAAGGGGTACACACACACGCCTCCGATTAGGAGGCAGAAAAAGTCAACTGTGCATGTGTGCGCGCAGCAGGGACAAAAAAGATGAAGACAAGAGAAAGAGGACAGACGGGACAAAATGTACGTGGTTGCGATGAAATGGAAACCAAAGGGACAAAAGATGAACCCCACCTCATTGTCAAAACCTGGGCGACCTGAAACCTGGGTTTGAAGTGGATGTGAATGTGCACGTACATACTAAGGCCAGGACCATTGTGCGCGCAAACGAAAGAAGGGATGAGATCCAAGACATGAAGACAGGAAGAAATGAAAGAAAAGAGGAAAGGAAAGGTGTGTGAAGGGCCGGGGAAAAAGATGAGAAGGGGAACCAAATGGAGGGGACAGGAACTGATGAAACCAAACCTCATTTCTCTATGGTTGTGAAGGATTGGATAGCTAAGATCTCTGACCAGCGTGCCTTGCATTGGGCTGGTGAGCATCAGCTGGGGCATAGCTTGGCATTGGTCTTCATGTCGACAAGTTGTTCTTCTTGCCAGGGTTCCCAAGAGTCCCAGTTCTCATGGAGTTCCTCGAGTAGTTGAGAGCGGCGTTTGGCGGATGCCGAAGTGGGAGCTGAGGGTCTGGATTTGGCTTTAATTTTGCTGAAAGGCGAGCACGAGGTCGCTTGGGGGGAGGAGGTCGAGCCGGTGCTGAAGAGCAATCGCTGTCCTCTGAGGAAGAGGGAATGTGTGTGACATGGCATGGATTGGGAGGTGGGGAGGGTGGCTCCTCGTCGTTGGTGGAGGCACCAAGTTGAGAAGGCGCGGCAATGGGTCGTAGGTTTTCAGGGAAGTGGTGGGCTACCATGTGGGATGGGATGGGGTCCCTAGTGGTTGGCATAGGAGATAGGAGGCCGGGCTGATGTTGCAATACTGGCGGATAGCCCATCGTAGGAGCTGGTGGAGGTTGTCCTCGGAGTAGGTCATGAATCTGGGATGTGCCCAGTGGGGCAGCCTGTGGTGGGTGGAGATGCGGTGGCAGGGAATTGACTGGGGTGCATGGGTGTGGGTTGAGGATGTTCGGTAGGAGTTGCAGTGGGCGCAACCACCGGTGGGGGAGTTGGCCAGTAAGACTACGGGGAGACGATCATGGTTGGTGGAGTCCAAGTGGGAGTGGGTTCTGGTTGGTGGAATGGATGTAGGGTGGGAAACGTGGGAGGGATCTGAACGATCTGTGCAGTGGGCATAGTACTCCTCAATTTGAGGTGACAAACTCGCTGGCGGCAAAGTTGAAGCGTAGTGAAGCTGTGGGTGATGTAGAGATGGCTGAACCTGAGGCACAGGGACCTGCATGTTTGGAAACGATCCATAAGGAGCCGAAGGTGCCGTCAATGAGGTCGGGTGTGGAAGAGGACCATAAGGTGTCGGTGTACTCGTCATCGGGGAGGACTGAGGAAACCACTGGGCGGTGGAGAACAGTCGGATGGATGCTGAGTGACAAAAGGTAGTGCAATCGCATGGACCTTGTACCGTGCCTGAAGTACTGTGCTGGATCCTGCCTGTGATTACTTAGACGGATAATCTGTACAAATGAATACTTAGACGCATGTTTCCATGATGGTGCAAATCCAGAGTTTGGATCACAGTGAGCCCTGCGGCATAGAATCAGTGGTATCGTGCAGAACGAGCGATCAATGGGAGTTCAGAGTGAAGTTCCAGTGCAAGGACGAAGCAATCAGAGTGGGTCCCCCAAAATCTGGGTTTGTGCACATGCAGCGCCCCTTGACAGGGATCACACCACAGCCCTCAGTGGGAATGTGTGGCGAAAACACACTTAGATTGTTGCTCGCAAGAGCTAGGATCAGTATGAAGTTCCACTTTACAGGTATTAGACCTTGACTGGACAAGAATGCAAACAGAAAGGCGGCAAGTCCGAGAATTTGAAGATGTTGAACAGTTTTGTTCAAACCTGGGTGAAACGTGATGAGTCGGTGTTAAAATTGGCAGGTACACAGTCAGACGTCTCCGACTGCTTCCCATGACATCACTAGCTTCGTTGGCCAGCGTCGTGATGTCATGCGCTGGCCCCCTGCTGCGTTGAAGTAAAAGCTAATGAGGAAGTATCACGAAGCTGTCTGATTGAACCTTACGACAGGACAGCCTAGCGCGCATAAAAGAGCACACATGGGAGAGCACACACATGAGAGCGCACATGTAGAGCACGCAAGAGCGTGCGTGTGAAAACAAGGTATGAGAGCACATGCTTGCAGTTCGAGGTTCGCAATGTGCCGCATCTGCCACGAAGATTGCACTTTGAGGTTCGCAGATTGCTCTGCCTGGCGCGAAGACTGCGCTTCGAAGTTTACAAAGTGCCGCGCCTGTCGCGCAGTCCAGGTTTACAAAGTGCTGCGTTCGTAACAAAATCTGCATTTCGACGTCTACAAAGTGTGCGCCTGCCACGAAATCTGCACTTCGAGACTTAGAGGTTCACGAAAGTTCTGCCACTTCCATGAAATCTGCACTGCAGGCAGGCACGAAATCTGCGGAGGGAGGTTCACAAAGTGTTGCGCTTGCCCCGACATATCTGGATTTGGTGGTCCACAAAGTGCTGCGTCTCCCACGAAGTCTGCGCATCAAGATTCAAATCGTGAAACCCTCCCACTGCGTTCGCCTCAAGAGCACCTCAAAAAACAAGTTCCAAATGCCAAAATATCCAAAATGAAGTTTTGTCCTGATACTTCTCCCGGGTTCTGAAAACGAACCACATTTACAAAGTTCAGGATTCACCGCACTTGCCAGTCAGAGAATGCCAAAGCCACCTGCACGTCGAAGTAAAAGGGTTCCGATCCCCTGCGCCTGCCACGAAGTCGACTTCAGACCACCGAAGCATGAGGATTCCTTTGTGTGTGCCACGAACAGTGACCATCAATCCGAACATGTGCACGGCACCACACCGGAAAGCACCCGCTCTGGCCCAGCAGCTTGTGTGAGCCTGTGCCGGAAGAACCCCCTAGTGTGTCCACACTGTTTCGGGAATCACAGATGTCTTTTCTTTAGCCTGATGCGATCAATTTGGCCTCTTGAATCTCTTTTCTCTCCTTTAGAATCTTTTTGATGATCCTCAACTATCAACAGGCAAACAAGTGGTTCTTGCTTGTTTGCTGTGGGTGAAGTGGCCGGATATTGCTAGATGGGACCAACAGAAACTGGTCAAAGGAACGTGGGATACAAAACCTCCACGGCAACAATAGTTTGTGTGTGTGTGAAACTGTTTAAGGTTTTGGCTGGTTCAGTCATTGATAGGAAAAAAACAGTAGTTGGGCAGTTGGTCAACTCCAAAAAAGGTCGGTCGTGGCCGTACTCAGCCATGTAGCACCTAGCCGTAGACTTAACGAAGCTTGCCCTGCCAAGTCCGCCTTTGCCTAGATGGGCCACTCTGTTTTTGCAGGCGTGGCTCAACACCTACTCCTGGGGCATCACTACAGACGTGCAGTTCCTTATCCCAGACCAACAATCTCCAGTTTGAGAGCTCGCACAAAGCGCGCTTTCTTGGCGCACGGTGAAAGGCCGTGGCGCAAACACCTGATTGAGGCAGTGGCTCGAAATCTTAGCCTCTTTGAAACAAGAGAAGGGCAGAAACGTTGCGATTTTACCCTGAGTCTGCAAAAGACCATGAATTTGAGCCAGAGACCTCCACGACGATTCTTTTTTGAGGGGAATATGTATAGGGCTCATTGCCGCACCTTCTTTGGCGGCGTTGCATGGAGTCGGATGCGGGTCCGGATCTCAAAGGATCCATCGAAGATGGTCCGCCCACGTAATGTTTTGGAACTCCGTGACCCACCAGTCAACAGGATGTGAAAGCCGCCAACCATTGGCAGCCCGATCTTTGGTTTCATCCCCTGGCCTGAGTTTTGAACTGCGTTTGAAAGGAAAGCTGCTGAGAAAAACCTGATCCAGGTTCTCTTTTGAGATCACTTGCCCCCTTGTGGTTGCCAGACTGGAGACGTGTTAGTCAGGTGTTGTTGCAAGAACCCGGCAGGTTGGCTGGTTTCATTCAACTTGTGATGTTTAGATTTACCTGTTCATTAGGTCGCATTACATGTTCATTATATAATTGATCCAATAATGTTGGAGTTGTAGTGGTTGCGAAGTCAGCAACCCCCCCTACAAATCCAACCATGAATTGAAATGATCTCCCCTGATGCGTGGTCGATGTAGGATTGTCGCATGCATTCGCGGCATGACACATGCTGTTTGTTTTCCTTGCTGTACAGCAATGTTATTGCGTACGCGCAAAAAACACAGCAGAAGACCAATACTATCATGAACCAAGGCGGAAGTCCAAGTAGCGGAAGTCCAAGGGACCAACCGTGTCGAGGTTCGGGTTGGTTCCTGCGAGGGACCGACCGTGTCTGTGGAGGTTTGATATGGTTTTGCATGGTTCCCTTCCGGTTGTTTTCTTTTTGACTGTGACCATCCAGCTTGAGTCCTTCACATGATATTTTTTCCTCAGCATCCAGCTTGAGTGCTGAGATGACCTGACCGCACCCGCTCCAGCACTGTGAGTGATACTGGTGTTCAAATGACCACAGATACCCTTCTGGGCGCCAAATCCCCTGCGACGGCGATTGGGATTTTCAGCATGGTGAAAGGCTGGTGAAGATGATGGTGACGAGGCTTCCTGGACTGAACGTTTCAATCAGCAGGTTTGTGGGCATTCGAAGGATGTGGTTCATGCAACCTTGACAGACACCTTTGCAGAAGTTGTTCTTGCCAGTTGCTTGACCGTACCATGGATCAAGTGAGACTGTGCGAGGTGGTGGAATGTCTGAAAGAGCTCCCCATCGCAGGGTTTGATTCACTGATTTTGTAGGGCCGCAACAGCAGATGACAAGAAGCGGCGACTAATGGCTAGGAGGCTGTCCATGTAGCAGGAAAATCTTAGCAGCATGATCGGTTTTGACCAGTTGGCTGCAGCTGCTTTCAGGCCAGCGGATAAGCTACTAGCCTTGCTTTCAATAGGGTTGAGACGTTGATTCCGGGTGTCTGGACGACTGGATGAGACCTTGTCGTGTCGATGGTCCACGTTCAGCCAAGCCAGGCCCAAGCCAGACCGCATGTTGGAGCCCGGCGCTCGGTGGACATGGCCGGTATATTTATTCAGGAGAGGGGTTTTACATGGAGCGCCCCCGCCATGAGGGCAAGTTTCAACAAGGATGGACACTAAACACATCTTTTGGTAAGAGGGTACTTGAGCCACCTCATCCCTGCAGAGCCTCCAGATTTCCAAGCAACAAGATTTCTTGCTCGGCTACACTGTAGCGGCTACACAGATGTTGCCTCAACATCTCATCAGCTAAGCTGAGTAGAGCGAGTCATCCAAGTCGACATGGCGGGGTTTCGCAACTGATCAGTGCCAATAGCTATCCTAAGCAGAGCACAATATAGTTCTTATATTTCAAGACCCGAACTCACGATTGCCAACATACGTGCGAGTGGTCCAGCCCGAGGCGGGGGGCAGAAAGCTGGCAACATACGGAGATATACTGTGTACATCTGTATACGGTGGGAGGGGCATGTGTTCAGAGGTCAACACATCTTCTAACCCTCTAACCGGGTTTCTCGTTACCAGGCCTTACACAAATGCTCGGTCTGCTTACCCTGGACGGTCGTAACAGACCGGTGGATCAGCCCGTTGTCGATGTCTCACTGACGGATCTTGGTTTCAGGGTTTACCTCCAGCTCAGGCGACCTGGAAATATGGGCAGATCTGACATGTCATAACTAGCATGACATAGGGAGCAGACAAGGTGCAGTTACGATATGTTACAATGCACTTGGCTAGTTGTGGTTATATAGTTGTGAGCCCTCTCACCGTGGAGCATACTTAAACTGAAGAATCTTCAGTTGTCAATCTCACTGAAGAACGAGTGATCGTTTAGACCAGTGTCGAGCCTTATGCCATCCTTAGATAACATGTATTCATGTGAGTCGGAGTGTGCAGACGTCATCTCCCAGCAGCCCTGTGCTGCTTGGTTTCCATGGCGACACCGCAACATGGGCCGGCGCGGTACGCGGCGGCTCGGGTAGCTCTGGTGGCGGAGCTTCTGGTTTACCCAGAGGTTCGGTCCTTGGGGCAGAAAGCTTTTGGAACCTGGGCAGAGTCAAAGAAGTTTTCGGAATTTTCTGAGGGCTGTGTCAAAGCTGATGAGAGTGGGCAAGATTTCTTCCCCCCCATTTTTAGGGGAAATGGGAAAGAAGGATTGATTCAATGATGATTCATCCACTGGGGACTATCTCGACCAAGGTGACTTGAGAAAGGCGGACCTGGCGCTGCGAAAGGCGCAGCTCTTGAAGCTTCGCGACGGTGAGGTGAGCCGGAAACGAGGAAACGCGAAGGCTGTGGCCGTGTAAACGGTGTGGGTCAGCTTTTCTGATTGGTTTTCATATGCAGAAAACCAAATGGAATAGATCAGTCTACTCGACGCAATCGGATGGTCCTACGAGTGATCCCAAAGCTCAGTCAGAGCCCTTAGATCCCTCATCTGTGCTGAAAAGGAGCGAAAGGCTTAAGGGTGATTCGTAGGAACAGATTCCTTGCAGAACAGCATTTCCCCATCTCTTAGATAAACGTCCAAAGCACCAGTCAGCCCACTCGAAGTTGCTTGGCTCAAATGACGGGAGCTGGCGGAGTTCTACAATGTTTCATCAAATGGTGGGGGATGGTGAGGGTTTCCTACTTGAGCACATCAATTTGCACACTTCAGATCCCACCCGGCATCTGCCGGAGTGCGCGTGCCGGAGTGCACGTGCCCAGGTGGACTTGGAGCTTCTCTTCCCTCCTGATGACCCAGAGGCAGCCTCCGAGTGCTCTCAAACCTTTGCCTCCGATGCCTATGGCCTCCGCCGCTGGGCGCGACAGGATTCGCAGGATGCTGGTGCAGCCGAGGAAGGACTGGAAGGAGAGGGCCTGGGCGGTTTAGGCCAGCCTGCTGTGGTGGACGTTGGTGCCAACGTGGGGTGTTGGAGCATCTTTGCTGCCAAAGTCATGAAGGCGCAGGCGTGGTGGGCTGGGGACTTGAGCGGTGCACCCTGACCGATTGTTTCATGGGGCAATATGGGGTATTTGCAAAATTTGGAAACAGCCTTAGTTCTACTTCCAGTTGGTGAGATGTTGTGGGATGCCATTTCGAGTTTGTATCTTTTCCTCCTTGAGCTTTTTCTCCCTCTCTCTCAAGTCGCGACGCGGAAAACAACAACTTTGCAAGCTTTCCTTCAACCAAGGCTGAATTCTCTTGGCATCGGGTTCATGTTGACCTGGACAGCTACGCTACGTAGCGGCGTAGCTGGATCGAACACAAGAAAAACCACGGATGAGTGAACTCTTCTACACAGTGACTTCATGTTACTTGTGCTTGCTCCGGGTGCCTCCAAACCTGGGGGAGGCCTAACCTGGGGCGCCTCGTACCGAGCAGGTCGTGGCTGTGGAGCCCAGCCGGCACGCTGCCTTCTACCTCGCGTGCAACGTGCGGCTGAACCGGATCGAGCCGCAGGTGACCGGGACGCAGCGTGATGATCCGTTCCAACCGGTTGAGGGACGCAGCGTGACGCAGTGATGGACCAACCAGATGGGCTGAATGTACAGCTTGAAGGGGTTTCAGTTTCAACCAAGACCCATGTGAGAGATGATCAGTGAAAATAGCCATTCTCTGAAAGCTAGGATAAGACATGAACACAGAGCCACTTCTTTTACACGCCAGTTGTGAACGGGTTTCGTATCAGTTTCCGGCTGTGTCGTCCATGGATGATTGGGGAGCGGAGGGAAAAGAGCCGTTCCTTCCGATCTCTACTGCCAGCTGACACTTCTGGGGGGATCAGTTGATCCCCCACTGCAATGGCTGCTGAAACTCCCATTGCATACTCTGTGGGCTGTGGGGTAATTTGACATCATGGAAGGGGTGACCTTACAATAAAAAGTATTCAACGCAAGGTTATTGCTATTGTTCATACTGACCCGGAGGGGAAATATTTGTAGTGGCTTAGGTACGATGTATAACCCACCATACTTGATAACGAATCACTACGGATCACTGAGTCAGAACAAGCTTGCAGCCTGCGCCCCACCAACTTTTTGACCCAGTCTTCCTCATGCTTTGTCACCTCAGGTGACTCTCATGAACGTTGCCATGGTTCCAAGAGACTGCACGGGCCAAATGCAGGTCTTCTGTAATCCAGGAACATCTGATGTGCAGGGAGGCTCCGTCCTTGACATGCTACACCAATCCTGCAACGACGATGAGGATCATGATGTGGTGGAAGGCGAGAAGGTTTCGGATCAAGCCCATGGGTTCGTTGTATCCCGGACGAACACCACATCTCGACTGGGAAACCCGTGATCAACCACGACTAGGACTTACAAGAGGGCAAGACTCATTCTAGGTGTAGACATAGACATAGACTTTGTGTACTGTAGACATTCCAGGTTTAGAGACCCATTCAAATTGACTACCACAGCCTTCGAGGTGTTGATCTCGAGTCTCTGTTGGAGAAGACTCGATCTTCGACGCATCGACTCTACCTGCGGATGAACTGCGAGGGCTGCGAAGTTTGGACCCTGGGTGAGCTCGGCCCAGGGACTTTACGGGGGATTGCCAAGATCTCCGTCGAAGCCTTTGGACATGAAGCTTGGATCACAGAAGAAAGTCCACTGCAGGGAACTGTCTTTGAACTGGACAGACATGGAAAGTTTGAGAATTAGGGGTGGACATGAAAGCTTGTGTGCCCTCAGGGGGATTCCTAGAGTTATTCTTGCGAAACACGGAACCGGGGTCGCCGGGGTTGAATGGTTGATTCATCCATTCTTTCCTGTTCGAACATGGAACTGCAGCGGATTTGCATGGATTTGCAACACTTGGATCAGCAGATCGTCGAATCATCGGATCAGTGGACCATCAGATCGATCGAACCTGCCACGGTTGCGATTCTCCCATCCTCGGCTCGATGAACCATCGGCGATCCATCCGATCGACCGTCGGAGCGGATCATTGGATTGTCGGGTCAGCGGATCATCAGGGGAGCACCGTTGTCCGGGTGTCATACTGTATCGTTGGCGCTCATTATTTACTGGGAAAGGTTCCCCCCCTCTTTATTAGCCGCTTCTTCGCTCGACTCCCCCTACTCTTCTATTGTGTTGGTTGGGTTTTTTTGAGTAGCCACGGTTGAACTGCAGCAGCTTAGTTACTTTACAGTTGAGGAGAGCCACGCGCTCTCTTACATGTCTACCGGCAAGCATTTTCTCGCGGCAGCTCGCCCCATACCGAGCTTCCAGAAAATTGTTTCAAGTGACTCACCATCAAGCCTTTTGTGGTAAACCTACAAATTTCAGTACACCCTGTGCCTGCTGGTGGACCGGAATCGCCGCAGTCCGCCGGAAATCCGTCCATTCAATTTTTAGCTGTGGCTCTTTTTGGGCTCGGGCAGTTTCATCATGCAAAGGTTTTCAAGGGCCTATCGAGACACTCCTGGCCTTGTTCCGCTGGTCATCGTCTTCCCGCAAGTTGTCTTTCAGCGATCCTGTTCACCTCTGGTCGCCACAAGCCGCCTAAGTGCAGTGTAAAGCTCCTTGGCACAAAGCCTTTAAATCTACAGCGCAAAGATATGCAAAGATAACAAGGAACGCTAACCCATACACTATACGTTCTCAAAAGAACAAAACAATTTCCAGACCTGGTTCTAGGCCACGCCCTCCGGCCGTCGTGTCAGAGTTAATTTTGACTGCTGGGGCGCCTGATACACCCTCGCGCACAAACGCGCGCGCACATTTCCTGTTGCTGAAGATCCAGTTCTGGAGCAGTTTGGGGCACTTGCTGCCACCAGTTCTTCAGCACACCTTTGGGATTCCTGCTCGTGCTGAAAACGCTGTGCTTGAGCTGCCGTGATGGCAGCAGGTTTGGCGGGGGCGTCTTTCTGGCGCTCTGGCCGCTGCTGGTGCGGTAGTCATCATTTGCCACCTCAGCGTGCTGACCTCGTAGGCCTGACTTTGGACGCCGCAGCTGCGAAGCAACAGTCTGCCAGCTTGCTCGACCATAGAACAAGTGCCTCAGTGGATGGGTGTGTTAAGTTACAACAGCATAGACTCGAGATAGTGCAAGATTTATTGTGGGCAGCAGTCTGTGGCGGTACCAGCGCCGCTCCAAAGCACGACTGGCCATCTCGGCGCCCTGCAGTGGCACTCTGCAGGGGCACCCTACAGCTGCACCCTGTAGGGGCACCCTGCAGCGGCACCGGTGCCCAAGCTCCATGCTCCAGACTCCCTGCAGCAGCAGCAAAAAGGCTGCAGACAATGCGCACACAGGCCCTATACTTGAAATATGAGCACCAGAAACCCCAGTAGCCCTCGCTATCTGGGAAAAAGGATGCCCCCCAGATAGATAGATAGATAGATAGATAGATAGGTAGATAGGTAGGTAGATAGGTAGGTAGGTAGGTAGACAGACAGCCAGCCAGCCAGGCAGGCAGGCAGGCAGACAGACAGACAGACAGACAGACAGATAGACACACAGACAGATAAATAAATAGACATTCGAGTGTGCTCCTTTCTGTTTTTGAGCACGGGGGCTGGTTGTTCATGCAAGTGCCAGCCCAACGAAAAGACTTGCATTGAAGACTGATATCGGATATCGGTGAGGACGCTCACCGACGCACCTTCGTGATGAACGGGGAATTTTCCACTTGGTCCCTGCTTTTCACTAGGTCACTAGAGTTTCGATGTGGAGTAAATGGCAGACTTGCATTTTCGTTCGATGTCCGCGTTCGTCGTGGGACTGAACTCTTGAACTTTAAGACTGCAAGGGTCTTGGGGATGTTTGGACTGTTTTGCCGTTTTGCATACTACCTGGCTTAACTTTGGTTTATCCCCTGAGGCCTCTTCAGGGCTTGGTGCAATCAAATCGAACGCTTAATATTTTGAGTGTGTGTGTGTGCACCTGTGGTTGTCGAGTTGTCATGGTTTTCTTCTGCCACCGTGGGTGCCTCAGCTTATTGATGACCATCGGCCAATGGGTGAAAAAGAGGGGGAGATGCGAAGGAGATTGAACTTGGCTGTTACTTCTCCAAGCTCTTTCTCGGTGACGCCTCTATGTTCACTCCTTCATCCTCTACATCCAAAAACATCGACGCATCTCCTCCCATCCGTTCTAAGGAACCGAAGCACTCGGTGCTGCTGGCACATCCGGCGCCGCCGCGAATGCTGCAACTTCTGTGCAGCGATGCCGTGTGGCCCAAAGAGCAGCGGCATGTGGCGCCTGCCCGGCTGTGCAGCGTGAAGGCAAATCAAATCGCGTTGGGGGGGGCCATCCAATGACTTCGGTATAGGACCTTGGACCTTCAAACGGTATCGGACCTATGCCTCAGTTGACGACCATGAATTTTCATTACATTGATAGACTGGTATGGTCACAATATTTTGCCATACAAACAAATACAAAAACATAGCATGGAATCCATGAATCACCGGGAGGTCAAGTTCCAACTGGATTCAGACACACCAATGAACTGGCCAGTCACTACTTCAAGATTTCTTTGTTTTCTTTGCTTGTAAACTAGTTGAACACCTTAGCCGTTGCTTGGTCAAGTCAGGTAGGCAACCGTTTGGACGTTTTTCGTCGAGCTTGGACCTTCAGTCAAGGAAAGAGCATCATGCGACTGATTGAAGGTTGTCTTGGTGTCTTCGATGGTGTAATACAAGCTGAGGCCAACTTGTCCCAGAACCCACCATTGAGTCCTTGTCATTATCCAGAGGGAATCAAAAACCGTTTGCACTTTGGCCAACGACGATGATCGGTGAATTCGGAATTCAACGATCTGTTTCTGTGTAAAGACTTGACCCGACTCGACCAAAATCGAATCAGAACCTTCAACCTGACTTCACCAGTGCCAGGACGTGGTAACCATATTGAATTCGACAGGCATTTGAAGTGACTTCCCAGAGATCTTGGAAATGCCCGGTTTCTGGGGTTGCCTTCCTCCTCTCTTTGTTTTCAATCTCTCCCTCTTGAGATATCTAGAGGTTGGAGAGTGATACACCCGTCGGAGTGATTTTTGGCTGCTTAAGCGAGGACAGACTCGAGTCGTGCGCAGAGAACAGAAATGGCACGCTCTCGCTGCAAGCTCGGGTCCTGAGGGTTTGGATGAACATTGGGTCCCATAGAATGCACATGTGCCCAATCTGAGTGGACTGAACAGTCGGGCCCAATGAGTTCGGATCCAAGCTGGGGAGTTCGATGCAAGGCTGAAGGGCCCACGCGTCGGGCCCAAGAAGGGCGTTTTTTTCGTTCTCTCTTTCGGAGGTGTTCACAGGCACTGCGGGCTTCTGACCGAGGAAGGTTTTGAGGTTTCGCACTTCGCATTTCGCCACTTTGGGTATGTGTTAATGTTAAATATTGTACAATTGGGAGAACTAGAGATCCTGTAAACTTTTTGGCACTTCGGCAAGCTTTCACAAATGGCCTCCACTGCAGGTCTCATCCTCATCCTCCCACTGCAGAGGCGCAGCGGCGCAACTGGACCAGGATCGTTCAAACCATATTTCACTATTTTCTACATAGTCTTTATGTGGGTACAGTATATATGTCTCAAACATAGGTTATAGCTATAGTTCATTGCTGTTGTTGTGTGTGTTGCCCTTCTTTTATTCCTTTTCTTATCGTTGCTGGTGGTTGCGGCCTCCGCGGTCGCGGCAAGTACCTTGGTCGCGGCAAGTACCTTGCAACTGCAGAGGTCAAGAAGCTTTGCTTGAGATCTAACTATATAGGTACGAAATTATGTTTCTCATTTGCAAAGTTGCTTGTATGAATGTAATCTCATTGGGGAAGATCCGTTCAATAATCGAGCATAATTTCATTGGGGAAGATTTGTCATGTGCACTTCCCAGTAGAATTCACACTTCAATAGTCAAGTAGAGTTGCTGGCAAGTATCAATGTGTTTGAGTCTGTCAGAGTTATGGAGGTTTGCATCAGGTGGGAAAAGCACAGTTGCCACAGCAGCTCCTTTTCATTCTTCCCCTTTCAGGCTCCTCATGTTTTCAAAGATGAGTGGAACTGTCGAGGGGTTCTCCACATGACAATGTTCTCCACGTGACATCCACATCATCATTCCAACTCGCCCGCCACAAACCCTCCCCGCTTGAATCACACGTCTGCAGTAATAGATAACATCCATACATCGATGACGATGTTGTGAAATTGATGGACATGTAAACCACAGGTTATCTTGTGAAATCGTTTACTACTCAAGTCCTGTCCAAAAACGCTGGACTTGTTAGGGGTCTTCTCTTGCGAGCAACACCCATGTTGACAAGGGTTTGGTTTCCAGCAGTGCTACACACAGATCCAGACTTTCTTCACCCTTCGAATGATCACCGCTGGCTGAACCTTCTGGTTCACCAATTGAACGCACAGACTCCGCGTCAGATCGGTATCGAAGTCCACTGACGCCTATAGACTTCCATAGACCAGGGTTTAACATCAGATAAGATCAGTCATAGTCCGAGATGTCTAATAGGTAGAGGCAAGTACTCACTGCCAGGCTGACAAACAAGGAAGTGGAAGACGGTCCCTCTGCAAGGTCCTGTTCGCTCCAACATGGCCAAACGTGGGGTGAAGCCCAGTTCCATGATTCGGAACTTTGGGAGTGCATGTTTGGCCAGTGTAGCTTAACACATCTCCCTGGTAGGAGCTTCTTGTTACTAGTAGTAATGCCAGGAGGTACTAGTAGCGTCCTTGCTAGTAGTGGTCTTGTTCCTTGTGCACCGAACTTGCTTCCTTACCTTGACCGGCGATTCCCCACCTCCGCGCTCGTCACCGCTTGCCCGGCTCCGCTTGCCCGGCTGCCCTCAGGGCCGCGTTGTTCGGCCCGAGGGGCGGGAACCCGCCATGGCACCCTTTGTGTATCAATCGGTGCCGCCCCACGAGGGCGAGGTGCGCACCTCCACTGAGGAGGTCTGGCTACTGAGGAGGCCGTGCACGGCCTTGGCACCGGCGGCGGTGGTGGCTGCTGTGCCACGGTGCAGCGGGTGATTTATGAGATCAATGGGTTAAATGGGAGAAAGAAAATACGTGTGGACAGGGAACATGTTTCTTGAAGATGATTCACTATATTATATTCTTTCCAGAGTCACATCTTTATAATATATATCGTCTCCAGTGGAAGCCTCAGCTAGGTGAAGTGCATGTTGGTTTACTCCTATTGTTTTTGAGATTTGGGGCAAGATTGTATCTTTTGATGTGGCCAATGAGCCATGGGCACCTTCTGGTGACAGGGTCTTCTATCGTTTCGGCTCCTTCTATAATACCTCGGTTGTCCTGCCACTTCGGGTCCGTGCACGTGTTGTGCTGAAGACCGGAGAAGCGTTTCGATTGTTCCTCGACATCAACTGACCTTCATAGATTCTAAGAACCTCTTCGCTGAAATGTGTTCGCATGGCATTTTCGCATGTCATATCTCGCAGCTGGACAATCTGACAGCTATTGCAATCGCTCTTTGACAGAGACTGCCAATGGACCCACCCCTCCGGTCGGTGATACAGTGATTCCCCAATCCGCTTGCGGTTTAATGTATCGAACGAGTCCGCTTTTGTCGGTTTCTTTCCATTATATAAAGACAGAGACTAGTGACTAGAATGCTTACATTTGTCGAAGACCGCAATCAAGGCCGCCTTCCTCTGCATCTTCCTGGCGGGCAGCCCCATCTCTTCAACAGAGTCGCCGCCGCCCGAAGCGATTGCGCGGATGGAGGGCATTAGCAAGGAGTTCAGCATTTTTCAGTTGAGCAACTGGGCTCTCCAGGGATCTGATCTCCAGGGATCGGGTTGGCGGTTGGCGGTTGGTGCACCTACTTACTAGCTTTGGGTTGGCCAACACACATCGGGTTGATGCCTCTGTGACGTGGTGGCTCTCCGGTCGTGGCTGAATTTTCACCTCAGCTCGGAGAGAATTTGCTGGTTCGGAGGTGGATTTCTAGTCTATTATAGTAGTGGGAGGGTTCCCCCATTCTTCGACTTGGACTGAGTGACTCGGCCGTTTTTCTCGTGTTTCGGTTGTCGGTTGCATTCCTGGTGCAATCATTTGCCGATCAATGACACTGGACCAAATGCTGATATCGCCTGTTGTGATCCCTGGAGTACTGTTTTGGCAATCCCAGGAAGGAGTAACATCTGAGGGCGTCAGTCTGTTGACTCGCATAATCTCGACAAAAATGTCCCACAGTCACGCAGATAACTCGAATCGTGCACATGAGGAATCCTTTTTTTTCCATCGTGTTTTCTGCATGCGAGCCAAGGTATGTCCACGTACGAGACGCAGTTTTGCATGGCAGCCTTTCCATGCCTCTGTTGTATTTAAACAGCCTGTTTAGGGGGAGATCCAAGTTTTGTTATCGGCACGTAAAGGCATTGTTTTGGAGGAGTGCGTAAGTGGCGTAGTTTGATATCTGGCAATAGTCACTCGAAAACCATGAGCTATTGTCAAACCTGCCATTGTTTAACTGGGATAGACGCAGAGCAACTCACTAAAATACTCCGGCTATGACACACAGCTCATCCAAAAGTTTCACATCTTTTTGGAGAACACGTGATTTATGGCTCATTCATGTGGGATCAGGATGATCTCGGATTTCTCCCTTAAAGGCTTCACTTCTTTCAGGCCTTTAAAAGGGCAGCTTCCGGTGTCTAGAGTCTAGAGCTTTCATTTCTCAGGAGGTTTGTAGCCAAAGCTTGTCATTTTTGAGATGTGCTTGATGGATCTTCATGGCTTTACCAAGGAGAGGATGTTTGGAGATACGGATCCTTTCCAATTCAAGTGCCCAGTACCTGGGGTGCTCGCTGAAGGCTCCAACATCCATTCCTGTTGTGGAGGAGTCTTGGAGAAACGAAGGAGTGCAGTCTATTCTCTGAGAACCCCTTTGGGAAGCGACTGGGGCCTCGCTCACCAAAGGTCACTTCAGCCAGAGAAGAAGTAGAAGTTGGCGAAAGACCCGTTCCAGTTCTCAGTAGGTTGGTAGCCTGGTAGTACACACTTGGGACATTGTGTACGGAATCTGATCGCCTCAAGCCCTGAAGAAGCCTAAGTGAATGAAACGCCTGGGTAAAACAAGAAGAGTAGGTCGGAAGCCATCGCATCTAGGTTGGAGGCCCCTTTGACTCCAAGGGTTCCACACACACACACATTGGTCACTGGTGGATTGCAACTCACTTTGACAGTGAAAAGCCGACTTTTGACATTCTCGTTCTTTGTGTTCGTTATACCTCCCGCCGGGGGTTTGGTGCGGGTACTTTGGGAGGAGGAAAGTCTCGTTTCTTCTTAGCTGTTCTTACAATATCTATGTGGATCGCCATGGTCGAATTAGATGGTCCATTTCGCGTGGCCAATGGAGCGGTCAATTATCACCGGCTTTTACAACACTATATAAAGAGCTTCCGAGGGAGGAAATTCCAACGCTTGAGGTGCCATAAGTGTGTTGCAGGATTCTAAGGGCAACGCAATTTGGAACCTTCCAAAAAGCAGAACTTTTGTCCTAGATGTGAGTCTAGTTCTGGGTAGAAACATTGCTGAGTGTGGAGAACTGGTAGCATGAGTGAGATGATGTGTGTGAGCCAATGAGATCAAGGAACGAGCGGCTTCCCATTCATTTTACAGTTGATGGATTGTTTTTGCCAAGCCGCCACTCGCCCTCCGAAAAACACCACCACTGGGCCAGTGAGCTCGCTTAGTCTGCCTCGGAGTCTTCCAAGGCTACAACACCTTGGGCTGGCCCTTCCAATTCTCCGAGTGTCGTCCTTTGGGCTACTGTACCACCTGCTGGGTCGAGAGCTCTCAGGATTGGTGGAACAAAGAAGAACGAGGGTTTTTCTTGTGCGATGTGCATGTTGAACAGCTTTGTTCAAAGATGTGTTGTATGACTCTATGAAAGGGGGCGCACTATAAAATACACCGCGCTCTTGAACATCACTTGTACTGTAATTTTGCATACCTCAAGAGAGGGCGGCACAGCGGCATAGTCTGCGCCTATGGAAGATTTGCTGTTTGGGTTTGATGGGTCTCTCGAGGACCATTTTCGGAAACATGGATAGGAAGCCCTACAATCACCAGGTGGACTCTGATATGCCAACCAATTTTCTCATGGATTTTCGATTCCCATATTCTATCAGGATGATGATGATATGCAAACTTTGCAGACCAACTGCCACCCAGGACGTCTAGTTGACAACTAAATACTTACGTCGCCACATGTATGCTATGAACAGGATGTGTCGGCCGTGCCACCCACTGACGAATAGCGGGCATGAAGAACGGGATCCCATCCTCTGAAGCTGGACGGATGATGCAGCTTTTCTTCAATCATCCACAGGCCAAAAGCCTCTTAGTTCCAGAGAAACCATCCCTCTTTTGTGTGGTGAATCAATTCATTTGGGTGGTGACACTAGCTCCGCCACTGCGTGGTTTTCCCACCGGACCGACCCACACCACATGGTGGATGCACCGTCCCACACGAAGCTCGGTAGTCGAGGAGGAGATGCAAAAGCACGAGGGCATCGAGTTTGCAGGAGCCGCCTGGGCGGCCACCATCAGTGTGATGAACAAGGTGCGAGACCCGCGGACTGTGCTCGGCGCGGTTTCTCGCGCATCGGTCCATCCTCTTGCGACAACGGTGTGGCTGGAAGGACAGTGATTCATAGGACAATCCATAGACAAGTGATCGGTGGATCCATAGACTCCACTTCCTCTTGGGTTTTGTGGCATCATCTCTGAAACCGCTGCAGTGCATCTATTGGTTGAGGTATTTGATGGACAAGTGGTGTGTGGAGATACCAAGGGTTGCTATGAAGGCGGAGATAAAACCGATAGGTTTCGGGGGGTTCCTTCGGTCCCTTTGGTCCATTTCGGTCCATTCAACTCGTCCGCCATCTCTCGTTGTCATTCAGAGGGCATGCGCCCCTGATCATCTCTGGGACCAAGACCCCCCCAACTTCCTTGGGATCGATCATCACATCTCGATCATGTTTCTCAGCTTCATACATGTAAAAAGACCGGATTTTCCGGGGGACCCTTTGACCCCCGAAAAGCTCGGACGGACGGTACACGGTGTTTTTCTTCTACTAAAAGCTTGGAGCAGAGGAGTTCGGAAGCGAATATGCCCTGCTGGCAGAGGAAGTCGCCATCATACCCTGATAGCCTGGCCTTAGCCTGGTAGGCATGCAAGTTCCATGATCTACGTCTGTAAGCGCAGTATGGTCATCCACTCTGTACTAGCAACTTTTCAACCCCACTAACTAGCATCTTTAGCACACGAGATGAAGCCTCTTCTTTCGGCTTCACCTCCTTTTGTGCCAAGGCCGATCGGATCCGCTCCGCTTGGGGAAGCCTTTGGGAGGCTGGACAGGGCTGGGTGGCTGGGCACCATCTGGCGGCTGTTTCCACCATGGAAGCCACTTCGAAGTTTCATGCAGAATACAATAGAGCCATCTTTTTGCAGCGTCCAAGAATGCCGTAATCCAACAAATCACCTGAATTGTCAACAGGCTCCTTCCTTCCAAGTGAGTGCCTCATTGTCCACCTCTGGGTCGACCTTCAGCACGTCAGCAGATGTCTGTGTCTGAGAGAAGCAGAAAGATCTGAAAGAGATGGCCATCTTCGCCAAGATGGTAGCCATCGAAGAAGGTAGTCTTCGAAGAAGAGAATGGCTTGCCAAGACCTCCAATCTCAAGCCTTCAGTGGCAGACAGGGACAGGTACTGTTTGATTTATTGTGATCATCTACTACTTTTCGCTGGTGCCGGGTCATTCATGCCGACGTCTCTTGCCAAGATGCCGACCAGTGGGTTCAGAAGAGGCTTCATAATTCGCTTGCCTGGAAAGGGGAGGCTTGAGGCTTCTTTCGAGGATGTTGGGTTCGCCCCCTTCTCTCCACCAGCGTCTCATCAACCGTAGGGCCTGGCCCTAAGCGTGAATTGAGGAAAGATGTTGATGTACCTGCAGCTCCTTGTTTATGCTGCTGGTGGTTTTGAAGGTGAAAGTGCTTGCAGAGAATGGTCTTTGAGGCCAAAGAAATCCTCAGTAAGCAGTGTTCAAAAAGTTCAGAGGGTACCTTTGGGCCCTGCTTCGTCCGAATCCGGTCACTGGCACTCCACCCGGTCGCTACCGAAGCTTCCAGGGCCGCGTGAACCGCAGCTTCCGTGGGCCGACGGTGGACGACATGCACGTGGCCGACCGGCGGATGCACGCGGTGCTGCGCACCGGGCTGGTGGAAGGCGAGCGGTCCGACCGGGAGCGGTCCGGGAGCCTGCCAAAGGCAGAATTCCAGTTTTGAGTTCCGGGGAATTGGACAACTGTCAGCGATTTTGGAATGATCTAATGCAGTATAATGCAAGAACATGGGCTTTTGCCTTTTGTAGCACATCAAGTTCTCCAAGTGTCAAACGTCCAGTGCGGGATCGACTTCACCGGTTCCCTGTTGACCCAGTTGACCATACTTCCTCTCCTCACACCATCTGAGACCAATGGAAAGCTGCACCCCGAAATGGCATGGATGCTCATCCAAGCCATTTCGGGCGGTGTGTGCAGGTTTTGACATTGATGCGCCCACACAGCGATTCTAGGCCAGACCAATGTCTGCCCGGCCATTGATGACTGGGATATTGATATGCTAAATGAGGATCGTGAGAGGCTTGGCAAGTTGACAAGAGTGAGGGGAAATGAGTGGAGGGTGAGCAGAATGATGGTGGGGATAGAGTATACCTCATACCCCCTGGCCCTTAAGCGAACATAACTTGACCTGTACCAAGTAGAGAAATATAGTCCTTCAATGCTTCCTGACAAAGGCCATTTAATTGTGGAATGTAAGCTTTGGAAAAGCCTATTGTCCTGTGATACCAACAGTACGTAAGAAAAACAAAGGCAGAAAAGAATAGATCTTGATCATGATTGATTCCGGAAGACTGAAGTCAAAAGCTAAAATGACGACACCATTCACATCCATTGCAGCTCATCGCTGGTCGCCACCATACCATGGCTCCCCCTGTCTGGAAAGAATCATCGACGTCATCACCCGTGTGACAGCACTCGATATCCATCAGTCCCACAAGATACACAAGATACACCGCGACGCAATGCATCGAATGGCCACCTTGACAGACCAATCTCCAAAAAACGCGGTCCGTTGCCTCATTGGTTGCAGGAAGTCTACACGATTCTTTTGGACGATCGTGGTGTCTTTCTTCCGGCCATTCGTTTGTTCTTGGGGTTTTGATTGGTACACTTGCGGAACTCTGTTCCGAGAGAAGAGAAGCGCTGTACATTGGCTTGCGTCCCACTGTCGAGAGTGCTTTTCGAACGTCTTGTACGTGGAAATGCGGATGTCTTTTTCCCCGTCAGCCACCCAGCCACTCAAGATTATACTCTTACTACATATTTTGTGCCCAAAGGAAGACTACAGAAGAGGACCGCCCTGGCTGTGGCCCGGCCAAATCGCATACAAGGCCACTGCAGTAACAAGATGTAACAAGTACAATCCAGCGATACATCGATCAATGACCTACAGTAGATTTGTTGAATTTCCCCGGTCAGGACTGGCAAAACCAGGTCAGAGCAGGCGCCCTTTTTGAACATAGGGTTTTTGTCAGAAGCCAGAAGGGGACACGACTTTTCTTCATCAAGCCCAATCCGTATGTTGCGATTTGTGAGGACGTTGCCACGAAGGAGTCAGGCGTTTTGGTGTTGGGCCCAAATCCGTGGCTAGCTGGATTGCTCAGGAACATCCACGCGCGTGTTTATAAGTCGGCCCATGCGAAGCTGGCGATTGTTGCCTTCCGCGGGACGCAGTGACTGGCCCAAACATGTGGCAGGGAGCAGGGTTGGTATCAAGACACGCCGAGAACCCCCCCCGGAGGCCCTGGATGATGAAGCAACTGCAAAGTGGGTTTGTGTGACTTGTGCTACCTTTCACTTTAGCTAAGTCAGGACACTTTAGCACTCTGAACTTGCACAAGGCTTCCTTGCAACATCACCTAGCTTTCTGTTGGGACGGTAGGTGTGGATGTTCATGCCACAAATGATTCAAATTAGACTCTAGCTTCTAGAAATTCACCCAGCTAAAGGATGCTAAAAGCACCAGAGAGGGGGATGAGATACCATGGATCCCGGCCCTTCGACGTCCGATACAAGGCGCTCCCATACAGCGACACCGACTCCGCCGTAGACCGGTCTCCAGCTGGGTCCACTCGCTACAAAGCTGACGTGGCGACCGAAGCATATGAACCCGACTGCGCCCTAGTTAGGCAGAGTCACAACTAACTCCCTTGCTGCAATTGTAGCAAGACTTCCGTCAAGCATCAAGGCCCTTGTCCCGGAGTTTGTGTTGCAAGTTGCATGTAGGAGATTTCAAACACATACCGTCACAGTTCATACACCCATGCACAATATACTAGACACCGGCACACGACCGAGAAACCGAAGCCAACGGCGATCTACTGGAGGATGGCGATACTTCTGGTTTCATTACCTCTCCTGGCTCTGACGGTCCAAGCTCAGGTTTGAGTCAATGAAGAACTGGCACGTGGATGCAGACATCCAGCGGATTCCCATGACGCTTTTTCCGTTCTTTGAGGGGCACCAGGGGGTTCGGGTTTCTGCAAGCTCAAGCGTTTCACTTCAGTGCATTCTCAGGGTTTCGTTTCTGCGATTTCCTGATTTTGAGGGCTCAATTCACCGGCCAAGTTGGGGTGCTTTTCGCTCAACATGTGGGTCTTTGGGCAGTTACCAGGATGACTACACTCCCGCTCACACCCCAAAAATGGAAGTGGCAAACATTTCGTCCGACTCACTACGACATACTTCACCTCAACCACCGGTTGTCCACTTCCTTCGTTTTCGTTCGATTTCGTTCCGCTCCGACGAAAATCTCCAATCTTTGACCGAGACATTGAGGAGCTCCGACAGTCTGGACGGCAACCATTTTGGACGACACTCAATGTCAAAGGTCTGTTCGCCCTTGGAAGCTCCGTCAGTGTCCGCCCCGAAGTCACATTCTGGGTGATAGACTTGAGCAGCCTTCCAAAGATCCTATTTCAAGCTATTCCTCGTCAAGCAATCCACCAGTCAAATCGCTTTCCAGGGGTTTGTGATCTCGCTTTGATGCCCTCAGCCCCTAAACAGCATCAGGACCTGCTTTTACATAAGACCTTTTTGGATATTTTTGATCAATGAGTCAATGGTAAACTGGTATCTATATAGCTTGTTTTGGTGCGCACTCCTGTCGATGACTGAGTTCAGTGTTGATGCAAGAGGATATGGTCTTGAGTTTGCCCTCTCCTTCATTGCCAAACAAGAATCATATTTGCTCAATCACTGGCCAACTCTGTTGAAAACGGTGCGCACTTGGCTTGACACGCTCTTTCTCTTGAGAACCCTTCGGATTCGTTGGGGAATCTTGGGGATTTGTCCCGATTTTGGAAGCATTTCAGCGGGTTTGGAAGGTTTGGACAGTTGAAGTCATGGGGATCTGGTTCCGGGTGTTTCCCCCCGAAGACTAAAGACCATGCTAGCATGGGATCCATGAACATTGACTGTATGCCACTATTCCGCTTTTTGTTGGTTTGGTGTTTACCAGGCTCTGGACGTTTCCACGGTCCAGCCACGCAAACTTTTTGCTTTCGGGTCCCTCCGGGTGTGACCGAAAGGAGCACTTCAGGGTCCGCGTTTTGCCGCACTCCCCACTGCTGCACTGCTGCGCTCCAGGAAGCTGCCAAACGGCAATGTGACCTTTGTACATGAAGGCAGGAAGAGCTCAACCAGCAGGGCATGCGGTGCCATGGAACGGACCGAACGGGAGAACGGGGCTGGTATTGGTGACCCATCGACAAGTAAGCAAGCTTGCTGGTCAACGCCTTTGCGTCCAGAGAGTATTGATTGACTACACCTGTCCTGAAGGTTGACGATCGTGTTTCTTTGTGCTTTGTCCACAGCTGTTATCGTAGCCAATTTCCACAAGCCACAAGTTATCTACGAAGCATTGAATTTGTTGTGAAGCATACTGCAGGCTCAAATTAAGAAAAATGAAGCCCACCGAAGTCTGGTGGAGGAAAGCCATGGGAAAGCTGTTTGCCCCAACCCTCATTAGGTTTATGAGAAAGACTGTCATCTTGGCCCCTGCTGTTTCTTGTTCTCTCTTGAAACAATCAATAACTCTTGCAGAAAAGTAGCGCTTGACGCCTCCAAACCGCATTGTTCGGAATCGAAGGTGGTTTTCACCAAACGTCAGCCAGTGGTGAGTTGTTTGTGGAAGTCAAGTCGTCTGAAAGTGGTTTCTCGAAGTCATGCGGCAAGAAAGACTCAAACTTGGGACGCCGTTGTCGGCCCGTTTGGTTCTTTGGCTCGAAGCAACGGTGAGTCAAAATTGGACCCGGCCCAACCCCAAACAATAGGTTGACCCGGTTCACCCCTGGTAGTCATTCAGGCATGTGTTTTCAGTTCTGGATTAGTGGTTTTTAGGTCCCACAGCTGCCCGGGCCAGGCTTCCTGAACGCGTTGAACCACGTCCTTCCACACGTGAAGCGCTGGGTCGACGGTTACATCCTGGGCTCCTCGGCCTATTTGGAAGCATGACTTTTTCTCCGCAGCAAAATGGGAGACCTTGAAGGTTGAAACCGCCTGGCTTCCTTTGCAAGGAAGTAAAGCAAGACTCATCAGTTGGAAAGGTCTCCCCACTCTGAGACACTACGTGGTGGCATGTTCAGGGTTGATTTGGACTACGGTTTTACTCACTGTATCAAATATCGAACACCGATCTACGCGGATGTTGAACTCAAGGCTTCTACCGTCCAGCATCGTGCTCAAGTTCAGAGGGGAAGAGTTGTCTACCGCATCATCTCAACACTACAGACCTTCTATCACCACGGAGTGTTGACTGGTCTAACTTCTCCAGTTTCTTCCACCTTCCCCAGGACTTGCATGCTCCCGTGTGTGTTGCATCGCATGTGCTTCAGTCACCGCTCGTGTTGTGTTTTGTGCGACGGGCTCTTCACCCAGGGCTCTTCAGCGCGGTGCCGAGCGATTGGAATCTGATCTTCACGGGCCACAGCTTGGGCGGGGCCTTGGCCTTGCTGGCGGCCACCAAGGTGCGACCGGTCAAGCCCGGTCCAACGGAGACGCGATGTCTATGAATAACCCACCCCTTTTGAACTGGAAGAGACTCTTCATATGGGGGGTATATTGTTCAAGAGTCTACATTAAACAGGAAGCGCTTCCCCTCTTCGGGATGCTTGGGACGCTTTTTGTGCATTTTGGCCCGGGGTTCAGCGTTGGTTGTGGTTGAGTGAGGACGTGGTGGTTGAGTGCAGATTTCTCCTCAACCTCAGGTTTTTTTCTTGCTTGTTGGTTCCGAAGGATTCAACAGCCACCGTACTGAGAGTCTTCAATTATTAATAAGAAAATAATAAGACTTGGTATGAGAACTGGGCTGTCTATGGCCTGAACTGAAGCGCTCTCCCGCCCATGTTGGGGATGCTCAACAAGAAGACACGCAATTCCCGACATGTGGTTCCAGTCCAAGTCGTGAAGAACATCCTTGCCTTCTCCAGACCCATGGTACCTGGTGGTGGAACCATGTGCTTTTCAAGGCAAACCCAGGTGCTAAGCGGTGGGAAGTACAAATTACTGCTACGACGGAGATCTCCCAGAGTTCTTTTTCGAGAATGATGACCATGTCCGAACACGCCGTTCCGTCTTTCTCCGCGCAACGAGCGACCGGCACGAGACGAGGCCTTTGCGGAGGACTGGCCACGGAAGTGCCTGGGCTCGGATGCGAAAGCGGCAAAGGAATCCATGACATGGCATCTTTTTACAAGAAACACTCAATTTTGGTTCTTACCACTCTTTGCAGTGGGTCTTGTGGGGGAGTTTGAGGTTGGATTTCTTCCTTCAACATCCTGGAAAAACATCAGCGGGCTGTTCCGGCCCACGCTTCCCCAATGGCAGGCCCACCCTGGCGTCCCCACGAGTCCGCAGAAAGGATGAGGATACACGCAGACAGAGAAACGACACCGAAGCACAGAAAGATTGCTTGTAGGATCTTGTAGGTGCAGCGTGATTGACAGCTGTGTGCCATGACCTCCACCAAGTGGACTTCAAACCACCAGCAGACGCCATCTCCAATTGCTCGGCCGTGATTTTGTTTCCAAAAGTATTTTGTGGTCGACATCAACAATTGCCAATGTCTTTAGTTTTGCAACTCCATAAAACTCACTGCCAGCCAACTGCTGCCCCCCTTTGCGCCGCTTGCAGCCGACTCGTCGCGTCGCATCTCGTCTCGGCCGAGGCCCGAGGCCACCATTGCCTTCGGCGTGCCGCGGGTGGCGGACGCTGCGCTGGACGACTGGTGGCAAGCACAGCAGCTTTGCGGAGCCTTGGGAGGGTCTGAAACGTCCTTCGGTTTTTCGTCGGGAGTTTTTTGGGGTCATTTTTTCATTTGATATGAGGGAAGTAGGGCGAAAGAAGCCATGTGAAACTCTTGGATCTCCTGTTCTGAACAGCGAAGCAAAAGGGGTAACTCGTTTGCAGAGCGAACCTTCCAGGGATAGGATGTACCCATGGTTTTTTCGACTCGTTCAGGATCTTTTCCTCTATAGACTGCAGAACATCTCCTTAGCGAAAGACTCCTTAGCCCATGGGCATTCGATCCGCGCAAGGAAAGCTGATTCGCGTGAACACCTACAATGACGTGGTGCATGCCGCCTGACATGTGGATACTCCTTGGTTGCTGCGGGAACCTTTTTGGAATGCAGGCGGCAGGCGCATGCAGGTGGCAGGTGAAGCAGGTGGCGTGTGTTTCTTTCATGTGAGACCCCACAACCAAGCAATCGTCGGGCCCAGCGAGCTGGTCATCACTTTGGCAATTCTCCTGTCCAAATTGAATGAACCATACTGAAGGTAGTCCCTATCCAACACATGGAAGTGGATAGCATGGTTTGGGTGAATCCTGTCGCCTAGGTGATGCCCTTCCACAAGATGTGGAGCGCATGGACTGCCGTCAGCGATGTTTACGACTGTGCCACTGGGTCACAGAGTGTTCCCCCGCGTTCGGGTCACTTCGTCACAGGTTTCTGTGGTCGCATGGTAATGGATCAACAAAACATATGAACGGGCTGCAGTGAACTTGCAGTCAAACTTGACAGCAAACGACTCCCCAAATGTTTGCAATAACGTTAGATGTACTAGTTTGGCGCCAAAACGTTTGTTTCAACTGCCTTTGTTTCCTGTTTGCAAAAGAAACGTTGCTTGACACACTGATAGCAACCATCGACATGGTAGTGGGAAAATGTTAGTTTCAGGGTGGAAGCAGAAGTCTTTCCAGGTCGCTGTTCGTCAGATTGGGATGGCAATTGACTGCCCAGCTGATCCGATTGAGCTGGGGCCCGTGCTGATCTTCGTTTCAGGGGTGACAAGTATGAGGTTAGTCTTTGGGCTCAGAAACAAAGCGCTTGTGGAGTGGATTTGTTTCCCTCCAGACACCAAAAAAAAACCTCTTTCAAAACTATAGTTTCAATCTCTAGCACTCTAGGAAACATTTTTTAAAACAGAGATTAGTTTGGTTTCTTTTGGTTCAGATGTGCTGGTAGCCCTGCTGTGCTTTGCTGACTTGCTCTCTGTCGCTGTGGGCTGCTGGCCGAACCTCCACAGCGTGCTTTGCTGTGCAGCGAGAGTTGCGGTGCGTTCGGCGCCCATTCACCAGTTCGCCGCAGGCTTGTGCCGCAGGTGCATGATGTGCCCAGCCCAGCCGTACTTTGCGTTTGACAAGCACCTAGTGCCACGGTGCCTGGCCTAGTGCCTGGTTGGCTCGACATGTCTTTCTTGTACCAAAGTCTTTGGCTCCGAAGTTTCGTCAGCTTTTGGAAGATTCCGGACTGCAGGCAGACGACTTGCTATGTGCTTTGCTGAGTTCATCCACTGCCAACGCTACCAGCTTTGGATCCCCTGTACCATTGCTTGCTTGGATGCAGTGCTTCCCACAAGCCACAAGCCAGAGCAAGCTGGAATCCGGGTCGCACTTGCTTCTCTACATCAATTGGTGGTGCTTGCGGCTCTGGGAGGCTCTCATGTACTCGGACGAGTGGTAACGGTCCATGGACTCCGACTGGAGCAAGGCAAACGTTGGCGGAGAAGGACGCGCAACCCTTGGGTTTTAAAGGTTGTTTTTTTTTCCTGTTCATGGACACCTTTGGGTTGCGGAAATCTTCGATTCTCAGCCCGGAAACACACCGTTTTTCCGAGTTTGGTGTGTTTCTTCCCCCCCACCGCCCAACCACCATTGGAAAACCATGGAGAACCAACATGTCAAGCAAATGTTTCCCTGCCCAAGGCAAACGTTCAACGCTTATTCTTACGTCCAATGTTCGTCAATGTTTACCACCACTTAGGAAACAAGCCAAGAGAACTGAGCATGTGTGTGTGTATATATACACAAACATATAATATATGCAATAGCGGGATCGGCTGGAATTGTTCCGAACGAGTCAATGACCTCAGATTCTGAGAGCAACCATCTCCGCTGAGAGAGAGACCGGTAATTTCCTGCTTCTTTGTTTTTGCCAATCCAACCTTCCTTCACCAGAGTATTTTCCTTTGATCAACCCAAAGTCTTTTGTGCCCTGAACATCCTTTGAGAGGATTGTTGCATTGTCGCTGCGAACCGTCGCTGGGCGAACCCCTCACCGAGGTGACGTCGCCCCTGAACTGCCTCAGCCCATCCGCGAACCTAGGCGACCCGGATGCGAACCGAGGGCCGTTCTTTGAGAGTGTAAGAGGAACGTGGGAAACAGTAGGATCTGTACATATGGTTGTGGCTCACAAAGAGGTCGCCATCCAAGACCTTCCTGTAAAGGGAGAGTAGAACCAACACCTGGGGGACATCAACATCCGTATGTATACATAAGCAACAGTCATATGTCATATATATATATATAATACACACAATATTATATTGATCATATGAGTGGTTGCTTCAGGCCACTCGTTGACAGATGAATCCTGGAAATTCCCTGAGAGGATCAAATGAGAAGTGCAACTGGTAACATACTAACACACACACACACATTGGGGATAAAGCAAGTGCGGTCATAATGCGACTTGCCCAACGCCAAAGTGAAAGAATTGTCTGAGTAAACCCGGTAGTATGCAACGTGGTCCAAGAATTTGTGTTTCTAATAGCTTCTTGCTCCCAGTAGTAAGGCCAGGAGCCCCGTTCGTAGCTTCTTGCTCCGTTCGTAGCGATGCCCTTTGCTCCGCTCTCTTCGTCTATGGAGAACCATCGGTCGCCTGGCCGGGCCAGCTCAGCTCCGTCCCAGGACGTTCGAACGTCGATCGTTCGATGCGTCCTTTTCGTCGGTTCGCTTCGCTCAGCCAAGCACTCTCTTTCTGTTCAAAGCGAAGCCAAGAAAGAGGTCTTCTTCTGAGAAGCAAGGACCAGGTCGTGGGAAACTCTCCGTTCAGGTACGGAATGGTACGGAGAGTGAGTGTCCTTCCAATTTCAGTCGTCAATGCAAGCCTCTTTGTTGGGCTGTTTTTTGCATGAACAACCAACTACAAACAGAAAAAGTCACAGAAAAGCCAAAAGCCCCCCTCTGATTCTAAAGGTTACACACGCACACATCCAATTTTCGTAACCCCAGAAAAAAGTCTCACTGGATCACTGTTGTTTCGGGTTTTCTTCCTTCCATCAACAGCTCGGCGTCCACGGGCCCGGCTGATCAACAGCTCAGCGCTGAGCGGTCTCCGCTGACTTGCTGAGGATCGGATGCGTCGCAGGTGGAAATTAGCAACCAATGGGCTCACGTCTGTCCACAAAGCGAGATTCTGATCCCGAGCCGTGTGAAAGGTGGCCTGGCGAGGAGGGAAAGGAATGCAGAAACTCATGAGTATCATGAATCGATGTTCAGATTGGTCCAGAGTCCAGAGACTGGTCTCAATGCGAATCCGATTGGAATACAGTATGTACGACTGAACGAGATCAATTTTGATAGTTGCATCCACAATGACCTTGACAAATTCTCACAGGTTGGCTTAAGATGAAGATTCACTTCCACTTCGCCAGTCCCCGTGAGATGAGGAGTTAAGATTGAGATTGAGATGACATACCTCCTCAATGCAACCTTGAACAAATAAACTTCGAACCACGCAAATCTCTCAGCGTGTTCCCTCTGCTAGCCAATTCTTTCAGTCTCAAAGTGTCAAAGTGTTTATTCTTTGCCAGTTTTCCTCTTGTAGAGCACCTGATTCAACAGCACCTTGGGAACCTTGGAAGGCTGCAGAAGTTTCGGAATGTGGAAAGCCACCCAAATCCAAGGGGGGGCCACAGCCAACCCACCGAAATCCAGTGGAGGTATCAACCAACAGCTGGAAGAGATGTCTCCCTTCGGCGGTGTGCTGGCGCACTTGAATGAGAACTGCCTCTACGGTGCGAGCGAGTCGCGGTTCTCCCGCGCGCTTTTTCGGCGACGCTTTTTCGCCGTTGAGTTTGTTCGGTGCGTGAAGAGAGGGACGCGCGTCCCATGCCAAAAAACATGTTGAAAAACAGTGAAACACTACAGGAGAGGTCAAATTCCTACACGAATTGTTCTTGGTGAACTCCAGTTTGTTTCACTGAGGCTGATGTTTTTGAGAAACTCATTTTTCATTTCCATTACAGCTTTGGGGGTAGGGTACAAACAGGGGTAATGACCTGGATGGATGGTTTACAGATTGCAGACCGAGCAAGACATCCGAGCTTTGTGGCATGGTTTGGGGGTCACATTTGTCCCAAAGCCTTGGCCGAGGCTGGCCAACCAGGTTTCATGGCAGTTTGTTTAACTGAAAAGACTGCTATCCTTCCTTGGGAGTGTTCGTGGTTTTCTGCGGGCAGGCTATATCTATGCAGTGCTGCACAGCAATATCACCTCGCTGGATAGATATTGCAACTTGTCGCCCGATGTGTGCAATGTGTCTCATGTGGGCATTGAATCATAGAATTGGATTGCAGGAGAAAAGACGAGCGACCCCAGTCTGAGATAAGTCGGGCTTACCGGTCAGTCTGTTTCGGGGCTTCTTCAGCGGCACCCTTTCCAAGCAACTGGCAAAAACATCGAAATAGATAAACACGAGGCAGTCTGCATCTTTTTGGGCCAAGACAATCCAATTTCTGAAAGATGAATTCAAGTCCATGGCGGGTGAGCTCACCCCTTTCGGCCGGACCTGTTGCAGTGTAGTGATCTTGGGGGATCTCTGTTTTGTGATTCCCCTGTAAATAGATGAGTGACCTGAAAAGCCTGGTCGGCCATGAGCCCCTTCTTTCCAAGCCAATAGGATCTCCAAGAGTTGCCACTTCGGAAGCTCAAAGGGGATACACGGCCCAAGGGCGAAGGGCACTCAGAGGCGATCTGCGAAAAGCAGAGGCCACCGTTCAATGAACCACGGCGCGTGGACGCCCTGCGGCAGGGCGCCCCTGCCGCAGGGTGAAAAGGCCGCAGCAAAAGGGTGAGGTGTGGAACAATTGCTTTTCAACATGTTTGATTGAACAATTGATTGATGAAACACATCTGATTCTTGAATAAAACCATTTGATTGATGACAGTTTTCAATTTTTGGGGCACTCCAAATGGCCAGCTTAGTACAGTAGTTTAAAATTTCATCAACACCACTGCGTGTTTCCAGAGATACAACCATTACAACCCATCTCCCTCCGATCACTGCAAGAACTCAAGGTGGCAGGCAGGTCATGGAAGACATCTTCGCAGTTTCTTCCATGACCGATGGATGAAAGGGCGACGTACTGGTGGAGGAAACCACCTCGAATTAGGAAAAGACCAAGCTCGACCGTATTTTCGCTTCGCCGGAATTGTCGGATGGCAAGGGGTTGTCAAGGGGCGAAAAGGGGTCTTGGTGGTTCTTTTTGGTCCTTTTGTGGTGGTGGAACGACGGAACCCCCCCAAGCCCCAAGCGATGTGAACGCCGGCGGTTCGGCGGGTCGCTCCTTCCGTGCCAGGCGAAAAGGACGGGACGTCTGAAAAGGCGGTCCGGACCGGTTCTGCCTGACATGAAAAAGTGTTTGTTTTGAAGTGGTTGAAGTGGCTGTCTTGAAGGTTTATCATGATTCAAGATATATATAATTCAATCTTTTTTTTGAACACTAGGATGAGTCGGATGAGTGAAAGACTGAAAGACACACCCTGCGAAAGATCGGAGTGAAGGTGCCGGGTGCCTTGGAGTCTTTAAGACTAAATGGAGAAGACCGTGTTTTTCTACACCCAGCCATGGGCAGTTGGCATCTTCACATCTTCAATGCTCAAACTTCTTATGTCTATCTATGTCACATACATTTTGATGGCTGTTCACAGAGCAGGTGTGCCAGTCATGTTGGTCGTCTCTATTGTCCAACGCCTATGTCCAAATAATGTTGAGCAGATCCAGTGACGCAGCCGAGCGGTTCCAGCACAAAGCGTTTTTTGGCGCGCGCGCGCGCACGCGCGTGGCCGTGGCGTCGCGTTTCATGCAGCGCGCCTTCGACAAGTGGGAGTGGATCTGTGCGGCTTGGCGCATGCGGAGGGTGATGGGCTTTCGGTTCCTTGGGGTTTGGGAGGGTTGTGTCAGGAGTTTGGTGAAGTGCTGGAAAGTGGGACAAGAAAACTCGGAGGATGAATTTGGTGTAAGGTCAGATTTTGACAGCTGGAAGTGGTGAGGGCCTCTGCGATAGGAGAGAAAGACCAACCAAAAGCTGTGGAGGGAAAGCCACTTCCCCGAAGCCCCTAAGACACTGTCGCCTCCAAGGCGGATCCTTTGGTGTCCTTGGTCGTCCACCAGACACTGTCGCTGTGGAATGCCACGTGTCTTGGCGTCGGTGGGGCCTTGGGAGGTGAAGAAGATGCACACTCCAAACGTAGATAGCTTCTTTTGGGGGTCATCCGGGTGAATCAACATGTTCTACAAACGGTGTGCTTGTGATGGTGACGGACCGTCGCACAAGTTCTGAATGTGCTTTGGTCTCAAGTCGCAAAGATGTCGTGGTTTCATTCCTGCAATGAAGTGCACGGAAAAGGAACACAGGCTATTTGAAGTGGGAAGTGGCCTGCCTCTCTCAGAGTTTCAACCCCACACCTCTTTTCTTCGACGCTCAGTAATTTATCACCTCAATCTCCAACCTTGCCAATGCTTCGATTTGCCGATCGGGGGCCGTTGGGTGCATTTCATGTGGAAGATTCTTCGCCCCCTCAAAGCAACAAACATCCCGCACGACGTCACCGAATCCTCCGCCTGGACCGAGCTTTTCGCTCCGAACTCAGGCAGTCTCTGGCGCCTTGGAGGTCCAGCGTGGGAGGTCCAGCGCCCGAAGACGGAGAAGATGTGTTTTGGGAGAGATGCTGTGTTGGTGGCAAAAGGACTTTTGCCGAGAACACGGTCGAGGAGGGTCGATGCGGGCAGGACGAAGTCTGAGCTCTGCGACAAAGGCCGCATGGTTCGTAGCCGGAGGTAGCTGGAGCTCCTCCGTTTGAGTTCTCAACATTGGAGCTTTAGCCAGCGCAAGTACAAGATGTTCGTTTACGTGTCTTGCGATCTCGGGTCTTTGATGGCCTGGAAACGCACTGGGACCACTCGTGGTTGAGGGCACGAATGGCTTGCAAGGCAGTTATCAGATTAATTTAGACGCTCCAACTCCATCTTCTCCACAGATCCCATAGGCCTGGGTGCCTTTGAAGCGGCTCAACATTGCAACGTTGCGCGTTCCGAACAGCTCCAACTCGAAGGACGAGTGCTGGACGCTCCGCGACCGCGTTTCGGAACGGCGGAACGGAGTCGATCCATGTGGATGTCTGGGGCCCCATGTGCGACTGGAATTTGACTCGAATGTCATTTGACTCGAATTTGACTGATGCAACTGATGTCGTTTTACCATTTGACTGATGCAAGATCAGGGACACCTGGACCTTCGAGCTTCGAGCGAGATGTTCTTCCTTTTTTCAGACTCGCGCCGTTCTTTGAAGTCACAAGATCTTGCACGAGATGGCTGGACAAGACTGACAGTTGTCCACACGTCAAACACTTGGAAAAATATGTACATGCAGGTACTTTTGGCAAACCCAGTAAGTCTGAAGGACAAGTTAAACTTTAATCTGAGCACTGTTATCAGGAACACCATTCACTTGAACAGTTTTAATGGGGCATGGTCATGGTTCACTTAAAGTGCATGATTCCCAGACCCACCTGGGTTCTCTAAGCTTTCCACAAGAGATCCAAACCAAGCATCACAGCGGCAAGCACCACAGCCACTGCAGCTGCACATGCATGCCTTGGAGCCTTGACTAGAGTCACTGGCTGGCCAAAATGCACGAGATGCTCACAAGTTTGTGAACAAACAATTTTACGGCTTTTGGACGGCGTGTTCAGGACCTTGTTCACGCCCTATTCATGGTTTTCGGTTCGCGCTGCAATCTCGCTCAATCCCTTGAACTATATGCTGGTACTATTGTCCGAGACTTTAAACAATAGCTGCATCGCACTGCCACTATGCTTTGGGATCTAGAAAAACCATACAGGTGCAAATCTGGTTGAGTGACACCTCGACCTGGAACTTCGGCCTCTCCCCGTCGACAAACGCGACAAGGTACATGTGCCTAGGGACCCTAGGACAAGTTCATCTTGGAACATTGACCTGAGAAACATCGGCTGTGCATGGCTTCTCATGGCTTCCCGTGGCTTCGCATTTGCAGGGTACCCCTTAGTTTGACCAGCAACTTCCAGCTGCAATGATTGACATACCAAAAAGGCGTCCCAAACAATAATGTGGAAAAAGGTGACCACAAGCACTGGAGGCTCACCTTTGCCGTTTTGCCAGTCCCATGCGGGCAGACACGGTTCATGCGGAATGACTCCATCCCCTTGGCGGGAGGACGCTGCCGTAAGCCACGCGCAATTTCGGCATCTGGCAGGAGGGCCCCTGAAGAGGGCAGACAGAAGCATGTCAGCTTGAGCCGTTGGTCTGAGGCAACGGCTATGTCTACGGCTATGAGAAAAAGCTTGTTTTGCTGGCGAATCTTGGGTGGCAGCCGGTGTTTTTGCATGCAGCCGGTGTTTTTCTGCTTGAGTCACGGCTGCTGTGATCGATGCAGTCCCCAGTCTGTTGAAACCAAGCGAGAGCTGTGCCTGCTGCCCTAAGTGACAGCTGTGGGGATATGGCGCTGGTATGTGACGGCTTGTTTTGCCTCAGATAGCTTGCAGGTCTTGTGGAGAGGTCAAAGTCGCAGATCAGTGCTGCACGAACATGATTTCTTCGACCGCATGTTTTACAAAGCTTGGCTGCTAACGGTCAGTGACCAACCGCAACTCTTGGCGCTTGGGCGATGAGTTCGTTAGTTCTTCGCACAGAATAGGGCCAGTGGCCTCCTGCAGATGACTTGCTGAATCGAAGACTGCTAGTGGACTTCATTCAACCTCTGAACTTCAGACTTTTCTCTGAGCTTCAGACCGTTACTGTACTTTTTGCTCCCAACTAAAAACTTTCAGGACCACATGTGTTCAGCTTGTGCCTTCATCTTAGAGCAATAATATAGCAACGGGCCGCATGGGAGTCCACGACTCTTTTTCACATGAATGAAGAGAAGGACCTTTTGGCTTCAAAGCAAAGAAGTAAGTCCACTTCATTTGGCCAGAAAACCATTTTGGACTTGAATCTTCCAGGGGGAATGTGTTTCCATGTCATGCCCAAGAAGTGTTCCCTTCATCTAGGTCACCGAGGTCATCCCCTTCAACAGCTTTCCAGTACGACCGAAGCTTCCCAGGTCTTTTGGAACTGCGAAGCGCCGAACGTTTTGGGCAAATCCTTGGCATCCAAAACGTCGCCCTGAACTTGTTCAAAGAAATAGAGATGTTCAACTTGAGAATTCGTCTTAAAATGGCAGCGCTAACTGACTTGAGTGCGTTCCTTCCGAAAGGATGTGTCTGTGTGTGTGTGTTGGGCCCGAGCAAAGTTGCGCACGTACAGCAGGGCCAATGAAAACACACGTTTGGACAACAGGTATAATTACTGTAAGTCGATACTGATAGATGCGTTGCCTTAGGCACATGTTTTTCCATTCGACACGTCCGGTTGGTCCTTGCTCGCTTCATGATTTCCGGATGGCAACCTCCCAGCCGGCGCCTGGCTGCCGTCTGGACCGCAGTGAGGGGGGTTGGTGGGCGTCGCTGGCCCCGCAGAATTAACACTTAATGCTTACAACCCTGCCACACTTGCCGCTTATGCTGGCCCAGGCGCAAAGTTGTGCATTTTTAAGGTATGATGTTTTTTGCCTGTCATGGTGGCCGCAGAAATGCCATCGAACAAAGAACTAAGTGCTTGTCGTAGGGAGGATCTTCGTAGACTGATGTGCCACAGACTGGGTGCGTTGACTCTCTGGACTCCGTAGACTCCGTCGACTCTGTGGACTACTCCACCAGTCAACTCCAGAAGGTCCTCGTCGTGTCCCTCC